TTAGTGACTATCGCTTAATGAACACAACGACAATTAGGGCGTCGACTACACGCCGTCTTAACACCGCTGAAAAGAACCTTTAAGGCGCGCTAAAAAGAAAACGGCGCCTCGCAAGAAAGCGAGACCGATTTTTCGCGAACGCGATCGATCGATCGTGTTTCAAGAGGAAGGCGATCTCGTTTTTGCCGGCGCTTTATTTCCGAAGCGAGGACCGAACGCGGGTACACTAGACGTAGCTTCTATCCTTCTACAACCTTGTTGTTTTCAGCCGACTGCGTACGAGCAGAACGGACAATAATGATCGAGGAAGGAAAGAGAGGGATAAAAGAAAGTAGCGAAAAGTGACACGAATGTGTGTATCCATTCAGATTGATTAAATAAAGTCATTCGAAAACGAGAGTGTCGAATCATCGTAGCGATTTTGTCACAATCAAAGTCGTGCAATCGGGAAGATCCATAATCGATTGAAAAATATAGAAGAAAAAAATTAATCGAAAAAAAAGATTAGAAAAAAATCTGGCTGTGGCTTCGATTGTGACAACGCTTATCTATTTTATTTTAGCCGTATACTTAATCCTGAAAGCAATAAAAGTGATCTACAGTATTTTTCATGTTTTATACACAGACAGAATTTTCTTTTAGAATTTCTTCTCAAAATCATCGTAATCGTGGGACAGTATGGTATTGGAAGAATTTTATAAGTTCCTCGGATTAAATATTTACAATAAAAAATATTAATATCTACCACAGTAAGATATAAAATATGTTCCATTAATTTGACTATCTACATATTAATATTTTTTATTGTGATAAATATTAATTAGAAAAATTAAATTCTTATATAAAATTCTTCTGATACTACAATATCGTCCTATAATTACCATGATTTTCAAGGTAAATTCTAAAAGAAAATTCCATGTGAAGAATCGAATTATTTTTATAATTAAGAAAAGTGAATTAAATGCTATAAAATTGCATTAAAATTGGAAAATTTAATTTAATCTAATGTGAAAAAAATTAAATGTGTATACATTTGTCATATAATGATTGCATTTATGGTTAAGGAAATCGAATTAAATTGGACGAGTTACATCAGACTCATAATTACAAGAATTGAATTTCCAATGACTCTGGTCTATCGTCACACAGATAAAAATATTTATTACGTATAGTCTGCAGTAGTTCGCACATGGAATTGTTACGGAGCTTCGGGAAAAAGATCGTTCTCTCTGTGATAACTCGACTTGATATAACTTAAATAGATTTATCTCTGCGAAAACTGGTTCACCAGTAACTTTCTATGAAGCGTAGTTTCTCATCGCTTTCGCGTTCATTTCCTTTCCTTTCTCGAGAGAAAATAATCTCCGCGATTACGAAAAATTTATGGAATATTATAATTTCGCTCATTTCCGATATTAATTTTCAGTTACATGTCGCAAATTTTATTTACTCTACATAGAAATTTAATTATAGTCACGAAGAAATTAAATAATTGGAAATATGATAAATAAAAAAATTATATGTGAAACAATTAAAGACATACAAATTGATGAAATAGTTAAATAATGTTGCAATCGAAGAAATTATTTTCCAACTTTTTCTAAATCTCCATAATTTACGTATATTAAATATCGATTTAGGACAAGAGTTTCAGAAAATAATAAATTTAACTCTTTAATCGGAAATTAATATCACGATCGAAGGAGGACGTCTAGAGGCAAGAGAGCGAATCGTTCGGGCGCACCTGCGAATGCCGATGGCATAGTTCGAAAGTTCAAACGTCGCGTTGCCCTTTCTGCGAACAATAATAGTCGCTTCGTCGAGAAAGTCTCCTCGGATCGATCGGTCGATTTCGTGGCGCGAAATAAATTTTCTCTTTTTTTTTTTTTTTTGAAACAGCCCTTGCGATTGCACGTACGTATATAATCGTTAAACATACGTACACCTCGATGCGGGCCCGAAAGCTGCGGTTAAATAGACATCCGGTAATTTTTTCAGTGCGCGCACGCCCTACGTAATGACGTCGGAGGTCAACGACCGCGATTATGCGGTACCCATCGATCGCGTGAATGATATCTGGTATTATATCTAGTATTATGTTGTACAACGATATTCGCATATCGCAATCGTCTGCTCGTAAACTGCTCGATAAACGCGAATAAAAGCGATCGTATGAGAGTTGCTTTCTGCAATTTTGTCGTCGCGCGATGTACTACATTGACGGAAGTCGTGTTTTCCGACTTTCTCCGGGAACAATTGATATTTTTAATAATCGTTCAAATCTCTCTTTAAATTATTCGAATTTTTTTTCGACGTTTTCTTACACAAAAAATTCGTCGCGTAATTCTTTTCATTCAACTTTAATTACATCCTTGAAGTGCCTTTTCCTTCTGGACTATATACTTTCCTGTTATCAATGTTTTTATTTATATAATTAATTGAGCGTAGCTTGATTTATCATCTTGGTTTATTCCGCTCTGTTTCGTAACGAGTGTAAAACGATGCTTTTAACTTCGCAACGATATATTTCGCGTAGACTACTCGATTGCGATAATTATCCGAATAATGCGACGACATTGACAGCATTAATTATATGGCTGCGAGAAGAAGACAGAATTGCTTTTCAGTTTTGATTAATATTTATCTGCCGTCGTGCGAAGCAAACCGGTTATCCGCATAAATAATGACGTAATTGCGGTTGATGTTATCAGTTTTTTTTACCAACAAGAAATCGTATAATTATATACGTTTCGAATAGCGGTCGCGAATTTCCCGGATATCACTGATAAGAATTTCATGGTCCACTTTGAAATTTCGGATTTTTCAGACTAATTGAGTCGCATTCTGCGACAAAGATGAAATTAGAAATACTAGGTTTAATCTTTATTAGAGCTACTAATCAAATGAGAATAAAATAAAAGCTCGAATGAGATCAGTAAACAAAGAACTCGCGAAAGGAAGAGCACGAGCAAGGTCTTGGAATTCACAAGGCAGATTCAGGTGAATAGGTGAACCAATCGATCACCGGTGAACGGCAGGACGAGCTAATCATCAGGATCGTATCGAACGTTCCATCTCGCAGGAATCATCTCGGAGAAAGAAGTCAGAAATCTTCAGGTAAAATCTATTTTTTTCATACACGGAAAAGAGATCGTCCAAAATCGACATTATTCATTTTTTGTAATATTATAAATTTTCTCATTTTTAATATGATGTAATGATGTAATATAATGATATAGAATAGTCAAGTCAAATGATATATTTTCAAGTAATATTTTGTAAATTTTCTAAATCGGAAATGTGACATCAGAATTTTATTCAAGGACTCGGATTTTTTTATCTGATGAAAATGAGATTCAGACAATATTGATTGAATTCAAATTATTTCTAGCATAGAATTATAATAGCAAATCCCAACCGAAGACAAACTGATTAAGATTAAATCTAACGTGGCATCTTTTCTTTTTCATTTAAATGATTTTTCTTCAATTTAAATGTCTACTAACACTCTACGAAGTGACAGAGAGACACAGAATGACGATTATACGGCACTGGAAATCACGAAAGTGAAAGCTAGGTGTAATGCACCTACCTACCTACCTACCAATCGACCTCGAAAACGCGTAACACTCTCATAGCGGCACAAGCAGAAAGAGATTGCATGATAGGAGAGTCTAGAAAAATGCCCGGGAGAGGCAATTCTCGTTTTCGCTTATATACTCTCGCCTCGTAGATTCGAGCCTCCAGCTCGCTTCAAAATGCAAATAACACGCTAATCGCACGACGGCGATGACGTTTTCTTCATTGTATTCTTGGATAATCGTTCGCGGATTCGCTCACCCGGATGAGAAGATCACGGTATTGTGATTCGCATCTGGAGACTTTCTTGAATCGCACATCTGTTCGCGCGTCTGTCTTAATTCTATTCGTTCTTTCATTATTTATCCTAGCATTTTTTTTTATTAAATAATCAAACGTGGCAGCAGGATGATTGAGGAAGAAATAAATATAATAGCTCTTTGATTGAGATTTTAGAAGCAAACAATTTAAATTGTAATTCGTTTTTTCTCGAATAAAATAAAGCAGTAAATTAAAAAAATTATTAATATAAAAGAATTTAAATAATAATTATTAAGAATCCTGAATTTTAATTCTGGCGAATTACGATTGACTCTTGAAGTGAAGTAAATGAGAAGTTTGGATTATTTTAGAAATATAATTTACAAAATTAATTTTTTTAATCACTTGAAGATTAGGTATGTTTTAATAATTCAATTACAAGATTGTTTTGTGACTATCAAATTAATTAAAGAAAGGTGTAATCATTTTTTAAAAAATCTACTTGTACTAAGTGACTATTTTTAGAATGATAATTATTAATAATTATTAATTAAAATTAATAAATTAATCATAGTATGCATTAAATATATATAAAGTATACTACTTATGCGTTTACGGCAATATTTAAAAATTTTTTATAATATATTACAAAATATGACAGAAAAAGAGGAATATATTTTGTATATTATACATATACATTATTTCTAAATCCATCATTAATTGCAATTTTTAAATAAATTGGATATTATCAATATTATTTATGGAGAAGTATTTTTAATTGTTATATATTTTTCTTCAACTTGAACATTATTCCAGAAATTCCCAATTTTTATTCTAAAAAGATATTTAACAGATATGTCAGAGGCAATTTATCATTTATATGTTCTATTACTCTTTATTAACTACAACTAATTAGATATTTATTTATTTATTTATCATTTATCAGATATCTTAAAAAGACTGAATATAATTTCTATTTATTTATACAATTATATCATTTGTCCGCATCATCGTTCGACTGACTTTTTTGCGGTCGTTCTTGTCAGCGTCCCCGTTCGTTAGCTATAGAACAATAGAATTTCCATGGAAAGGTGTCGGTATATATCCGAGATAAGGGATATTATTATTTATATAATTTTTCTACGGACTCCATTAGAGTCTATCTCGACAGATCTCGCGACATCGCTCGCGTTTCTCGTCTCTTTCCGCGCGATTGTCGCGATGAATCGACGTGGCCGGCAGGTTTGTCGACCGGATCTGCAACGGTACCGTACAGCGTATGTACCTAGGGGAAAAGCTACCGCGGCTACGGCCAGGTCGCCACGCCGACCAAATCCCAGTTTGTCGCGCTTAACCGGCGCGCGAGGTCCGACCTGTCGCGCTGCGAGAAGTCGAACTGTGCTGTGCGATCCAGAATTAAGCAGATTCAGTGTAAATCATTTAATAATCTTCGAACATCATTTTCATTAGTCTTACACTCATGTTCGCGAATGCTCTTCAAAATACCCATTAGAATAAAATTACTGAAACATTGAGTACTCGTAAAATGACTGTAAAACGCGCGTAAAGCATCGTTAAATAAACGTGTAAAGATAGTTGGAACAATGGGGGTTCTAAACGTTGTTTAAACACTCAATTAAAATGTCATTTAGAAAAGCTAACATGATTTTATAAAAAATTATATTTGCAAATAAATCGAATGAAAACTAAAAGTAATTAGATGAATTATTTCAGCGTTTCCCAAATGGTGATGAGTCGCGATCCGGTACCGGGGTGCGAAAGCAAAATACCAGGTTGTCTAAAAAAATATAAGTAATAATTCAAGTTCAGTTTCTCACTAATAAATTATTTGGTTTTGATTTCTTTACATTTTGCATTGTTGTAAAAGTAAATGTTTCATAATTCGGTTTTATTTGATCTATAAACCAGTATAGGCGATAAAAAATTTGAGTGGGTCACGAAGGAGAAGTAAAAAAATAACTGGGCCGCGGAAAAAAGTTTGGGAAACGCTGAATTATTTGATTTCCGTGCGATGGATTTTTTTCTTTATTTTTTGGATCGGCTCTATTTCCTTTGGAAAATGGGACACGCTTAATCGGCGTAAATTAGTATTAATTAGGAGCAGCGTGTCTAGAGTTCAGAATACGAGTCTGCAAAGTCGCTCGTTTTTGTTCGGTGCAAAACATGCAGAAATATGCAGTTTCTCGGGGAAACTCTTGTGACTTGACAGAAAACTTTATCGCGAATATTTTACCTTACAAGGGGATACTATTATAGTGCATACGTGCATCGTTGACGTGCTTTCTATTCAAGACAGAAATTGCGCGTGTGATTTGAAGGAAATTCAAGCGACGTGAAACCGCTGTTCGATACGCGCGAGTTTTCTCGAAGAAAGTAATCTGCGATAATCGAAAAGCCCGCGATTGTTTATCGAAATACAATAAAAAAAATAATAAATTGATTTATTATTTAATAATAATTTAGAATATAAAATGTATAAATAAATCTGAATTAATATTAAACTAATATTGAAAAAAATTTGGTTTGAAAAAAATAATGAAATGATGCAATTATTTTTTATCGAGTAAATATAAATTTGATATTCGGAAGTATCGGATCGTAGGTGAATGGTTGAATGAATATAAGTATAATAATTATGCAAATTAAAACATTACATATAACATTGAGTACAGTATAACATGAAATAATGTATGTACGTGTAGAATTATATATATTATATTCAGTATAAAAGACTGTGCTGTTGCTGTCTCATTTAACGGGTTGAGTATAAAGCGGTCAAAAAAATTGATTGCTTTCTATTTTTCCGTTAACCGTGTTACGTGCTATTAGCCGCTTGTTAAACATAGAAAATCTGTCTCGGTGATTTAAGCCGCGTTCCACTAAAACAAAATTGCATTCTCTCGAAGAGAGAAAGGGCATCGAATTCGTATTCTTGATGGAATACGAGTAATTTCGCCTAGATTAAAATGCATTATTTTATCGAACGAGTATATGGCGTTATTTTACGAAATTTTTTTATATATGAATTTAGATATTACAAATATATCAATAGCAGCTTATAATAAAAATTGACAATTGTTAATAATTTATATTTATTTGTTGTGAAAGAATTTATATTACTTATATTAATTTATAATTTCTAAATTTACATTAATTTCACATAAAATTTAATTTTAGTAATTAGATTTTTATTTTTGAACTTATTATTAATTTTTAAAAATCTATTTTAATTTTAAACCTGACTCTATGCAAAAATATTCAAACCTAGAAAAGAATGTTGAAAATGATAAGCTTGAACGATTTTCGATGACAATAGCTATCTATTTATTCTCTGTTATTATATAAGTATGTAATGTTATTTAAAATTACAAATGATGAGCTACGTAAACCGGTACGGGCTATTTTCTAATAGTGACCTTCGAAGATCCCCGTCACTCGATGATGGCAAATACAACAACGGTAGTGAATTGTCAGTTTCTCGAGTATAAATGTCATGTCCGGGTTTAAATCATTTTATACGCGTTTTATCATCGAATAATCTTTTTTTCTTTTATGCATATTAATGTTGAAGATATACCTTGACAGATAAGACGGTAACAAACTTCAAAAAGATTTAATCACTTTTTGAATCGACACTATTTCTAATTGTAAGATTAATTTTGAAATGGAGTTATTGGGGACAAATAGGTTTATTAAAAAATTATTACGCGCTCCTTTAATTAATCTGATTCAAATTTTCCTGCAATTAAACTATATCAAAGCATATCCTATCTTCAAGTGATTAAAAATTTATAAATATTTTTATAATTTCTAAAATAATTAGGCTTTTCGTTTCTTTTACTTCAAGTCGATCTTATTTCATCAGAAATTAAATTTGATTCTTAACTAATCATATTATTTAATTGTTTAAATAACATAAATTGTGTAATTGAAATCTAACAATCTTTGTTTAATATTTTGTGAGAGAGAAACGTTAGATTCTACTCTTATTTTAAACTTTCCTTTTAATAATCGGGTTTAAGATTTTGATAACACTTTACGTAATATTGAAACAGTTGGAATTTGATGAAGATTAAACTATAAATAAATTGTACGATCTGCGTCACAGAAGTTTCTTCAATAGTCGTGCTTCGGTATACAGTTCTTGTTACTCTTTCATAATCTACCTCGCAACTTGGAGACTTCCCAATTTCTATAGGTACCATCATGAGTACCGTTGTTTCCACGACCCGTTACATCATTGAAAAGAGTTGAGACACTTGCGAAACATATGTGAGATTACCGATCCGCTGTCAGAATAATAAAGGATTTTTAAAGTGAAAAAAAAGTAAAACTAACATTAACACGCACGAATCAAATCTTAAATAATAAGTTGAATAAATAATTAAATTTTAAACTCGAACAAAACCAAACAGAAATAAATGTAATAAAAGATATAATATAATATATAATAAAATGTTCTATCAATATTTAAAAATCTTAGTTTCACAAAAAAATCGCATATCGTAAAATAATTTAAACAAGCTCATTTATTATATAAACCTTAGTTTTGATAGAGTGAGTCAAGAAAATGAATATTAAATAGATGAATGTGAAGTAGATAGTAAACGCGAATTAAATAATACTATTATGAATTATTCATAAGTTATGTATTTTCGTCTCGCGGCATACTTCTCACGTGAACGAGAGACAGAGACAGACCATATTTTCCGCGATTTTGCAATAGAATCACGCGTGTGTATTAATTAATTGGCGAACCGTAGTTACTACGAAGGCCACCGCCTTTCAAGGAAAAACCAGTTGGAAATATAATATGCGATAATCTACACCCCCTCTTATACGCAATTCTCTCACGATTTTCTTTAAAACTTATATAAAATTAAATAAAATGCAATAAAAAGCACAGTAACATATAAATCTTTCAGTAATTCGCGAGCTTAAATTTTATTTAAAATCCACACGATTGCAATAAAAATTTAATGTTTAGTTGTTAAAATAAAATATATTTAACAAATTAATTTTGAGAAATTTACATAATTTTTTTGTATAAAAAATTAATTCTCTTTCCGGTATTTTTCGAGAATTTGTCATCGAATTATAAAACATCTCATTCTAAAAGTTCTCGACACTTCTTATAGAGATATAACGAGATAAATCGATATTTTTATATCAGACAATGCGGTACCGAACGTCATCGATCATCGTCATCGCGCTTCTGATCGTCCTGTTGGACGGCGCGATCGGCAGACTGCGGGTCGCCTATCGCTGGAAGCAAATCGATTACAATTGGCCGAGCGATGACACCAAAAGATTATTCCCGGATTACAAGCAGGAGGACAATTTGCCTTTGGGTCTAGAAGTGGCTGGCGACCGGATCTTCATCACTGTGCCGAGATGGAGACAAGGAGTCGCCGCTAGTCTCAATTATATTAGACTTAACGGTGATTAATTTCTTCTTTCCCTCTCCCTTGAAAGATTCATTCGCAAAAAGACTGAAAAATAAATATTTATTAAATATATATATTATAAAATAATTATTTTTATTTTTTTGTTAGCTATGTTTCTTATTAACTGTTTTATTCTTTCGACTTTCTGCTAAACCAGGATTTTATTTCCATTAATTATTGATTTATATATTTAACTATAAATTAATGAATATAAAATACAGAGAGAATCGCGGGATAATATATGGTATTAGAAGAATTTTATATATAAGAATTTCTCTGAATAAATATCTACCATAATACATAATAATATTTTTTATCGTGGTAAATATTAATCAGAGAAACTCATAAAATTCTTCCAATACCATGATTTTCAGAGTAAATTCTAAGACAAAATTCTCTCTGTGTAGCTCCAAATATACGAAAATTCTAAATCAAGAAAAGTTTAAATACAAAGAAACAAATTTGCAAGGATCAGCTCTTCTCTACCTCCGGGGATTAAATATATCATCGGTTCGTTGGTTTTTAGACACCCGCGAATCGCCACCTCTAATTCCTTACCCGTCCTGGGAGGCTCATCAATACGGTGCTGCTGGGGTGCCTGAGATCGTCTCGACGTTTCGGGTGCGTGCCGATCGTTGCAATCGGCTGTGGGTCCTGGACACAGGACTCACGGACATCCTGGGCAGCCCCGAGCAGCAGGCGCCGCCGGCGCTGATCATCTACGATCTGACAACCGATCGCATGCTGCGCAAACACGTGATACCGACGGACCAGAGGACTCCCGATTCCCTGTTCGCCAATATCGCCGTCGAGGATTACTCGTGCGAGGACTCGTACGGCTACCTGGGCGATCTTGGCGGACCAGGGCTTGTCGTGTACTCCTGGAGCCTGCATTCCTCTTGGCTCGTCAAACATCACTCCTTCCATCCGGATCCGATGGTAGGTGAAGCTTCGGAAAGTGTGAGGCGATTCGATCCAACAGCTAAATAATACTTAATCATTTCGGTAGCTTTTTATTATCTTGTTGACGTCAATCATTTTCTACGTTAGTTGGCTGTCAATTAAATTGAGAGAGATCCCAGCAAACACCGATATATAATTGTTACATTGCTATAATAAAACGGAATATAACAGGTAATATAACGTTACATGTAACATCCATGTTAATTGTAATTTCCCACTCATAGATGTAACATTTTAATATAACATATATTACATTGTAGTTATATTGTAATTATATACCAAATAGCACATTGATGTATTGATAAGTCAGTGCTATCTTGGGATATAATGACAATATAACTACAATGTAATATATGTAATATTAAAAATGTTACATCTATGAGTGGGAAATTACAACTAACATATACGTTACATGTAACATGCTTGAGTATATAACATTTATATATTGTGTTTGCTGGGATGCTTTTTCTTAAGAGAACAAATTATGAAGAGCTTCTTGGATTCGTTGGATCGTTGTTGAGCAGAGTTTTATGGCGAGTTCGAACGGTGAATTGTCTCTTTCTCAGGGCGGCGAGTTCAAGGTGTCGGGAATATCGTTCCAATGGAACGATGGTTTGTTCGGGATGGCTCTTGCGCCGACTGGTGACGGATATAGCACCATGTATTATCATCCACTCTCCAGTGGCATGGAATTTTCTGTCACTACGAGATTGCTGCGCGATCCTCAGCGTGTCGGTGCTGCGGGTATGTTTGAAAGGAATTATGTTTGCGTGGAAAAGTGACACAATAACAGCCTAATCCTTCGTCTAACATGCATCGCGTTGCGATAATGAGCAAGTTCTTATTTTGGTTCTCATATATATTTATCTTCTGCGTAATTAGTCGTAACAAGGACCTTGAAAATTATCCATCGTGTTTGGACTTTAAACCGTTTCTTAATAATATTGAGCAATCCTCGCAAGAATTTTATTTCGCGTATCAGTGATTTGTTTGTTTAAATCTACTTTGATGTAAATATTTGAAAATCCAAACTAAACCTTTCTCATATTTTCCAATCGAAATAATGATTAATTACTGGGATTGTTGCTTCCTAATTTATTTTATTAATATATTTATTACAATTCGAATTAAAGTTATAAAAACATATTTTAATTATGAAGATACATTCTTTTTATTATTTACTTGAAAACTTGATTTTCGAGCTCTTAAACATTCAAGGATTGTCTCGACCTTCGGGCGAAAAGAGGTTGTAAAGACTTTCAAGAACCAGTCATTTTCTTGTACGTGTGAAGGACAAACTACATGAGGCGTTTATCCAGACTTTAACTTATTTTACACACATGTCACAGAAACGTCTCACGAATTTCAAACATTGGGCTCGCGTGGTCCCAATGGCCAGAGCAGCGTCAGCTTCCTCGATCCGAAAACCGGAATTCTCTTCTACGCGCTCACCAATCTAAACACCATCGCTTGCTGGAGGCCGCAAAATAAATTCTTTGTACAACAGCAAGGTTACGTATACCAGGATAACGTGACCATGATTTTCCCCAACGATCTCAAGGTAATCGCGAATTTATCGAATTGTGATCATCATTATTGATTAGTCGTCTAAAAATTTGTTTTTCTATGTCGTTTCATTAAATTATTTATATTTATATATTTTGCAAATGCAAATTTTAATATTTTATGTCACCATTTGTTATTATTAAATTAATTAATTGATTAAACAATAATTGAGTAAATACAATTTTCTTGCTCCTTTTGCATTCTTATTTGCTCGTAAGATTATGATCTATTATGCAAATATAAAAGCTATTAATGAAACTCTAATTTTATAGCCATAATAATTTTTGACGTTTGTCATTAAATTGAATTTTGCTCGCGTTATATTGCATTTTTACCTCGGCAGATCGATCGAAATGGCAATCTGTGGGTTCTTTCGGACAAATTGCCCCTCTTCATGTATTCGCAATTGGACGTGCACGACTATAACTTTAGGATACTCACGGCATCGGTCGAAGAACTTGTCATGGATACGGTTTGCGCATCAACATCGTCTTCGATTTATCCCACGACGATGCATGATCATAGAGATCATATGGACCACAAAGATTACACGAGCACGACACCCAGAATCGGCAGATTCAATTCTGCCAGTTTCATGAAGATCGAGACCAATGTTCTCATAATAACGACGTTGTTGACATTCCTAATCAAAGCTTTTATCTGAGAAGTGACAAAATTTGAAGATGTAAAAGTAGAATTTGAAAAAAAAAGAATGAAAAACAAAATGAAAATATCAATAGTAAGATACGAGTAGAAAGAAAGAGAAGAAGGAGAAAGAGTTTACGAATATTCAAGGTGACGTTATCAGTATTTTTGTAATAATTTTAATTTACATCATTTAGATTAACTTCAAGTGAAGTAATTGAAACAATCGAATAAAGTTTTATCAAGAACAGAATTTGTTACAAAAATATATAAAAGATGAATATTTAATTAATTAAATATAAATTAACTGCAATTGCACAAAATTAAAGTTTATTATTAGTCTTAATATTGGAAATTTATTATTTCATCGATTAATTGCTTCGCTTGATCCTATTTTGTAAAAATTCCCAAAAAATCTGTTAGTATATAATCATGTTAATAATTACATATAATTATAATATTATTTTAAGATTATGGTTAATTATATTTTTTCTTTAAAAGCTTGAATTGTGCTGGAAAAAAATTGATAATGCACAAAGAATTCCATAAAAGATTGCATATAGAATTATATGTAAAACAATGTTTTACTTTATACTTATTTTTAGACTAAAAATGATCTCCGGATAATATTGTCAAGACGTTTTTCGAATAATTTTTATTGTAGTGTTCCTGTAGAAAAAATTGATTAGTTGAACGTTTATGCGGAGAGGTGGTTCTAAATGTAACTTCGATTGTCTGAAATTTCGATTTATGCGAGTTAATGAATAATGGATTCGAAATAACTGGACATGGCCTTCACGTGCGTAATACAATCGGTTTTTCAATTAGATATAAATATTCTTCTCGCATTTTTACTGTGAAATCTGTCTAAGAAATAGTTTCCTCTTTTAGACCACGAATATTATTATTATACTCATACTATACTGTTGGAACTGCCATTATATATTTATGTATCAAAATGGAATGTAATATATACCATGTAAAAAAGAAAATATTTCTCTAATCGAATATAACAATTCCCTTATTTTCCTTATTTTCATAAACATTTTATAAATGTAATTACAATTTTATATTTGTCATTATCATCGTTAATTACAGTGATTATAATGTCTTATATATTTTAAAATTCTTAATGTATATATTTATGTTGTTTTTCATCACATGTTATTTGCATGATTCTAGCGTCTCTATTCTAGTTTCTGCGTCATTGCTACATGAATTCGTCACGCGCATCTTGGATGTCCGTGCGATAGAGTTGTATTATGCAAGATGTTGCAAAAACAACTTGTCGATCATTACCAGACACTTATTATAAAATCCGTATCTCTCTGAATGTTATAAAAATGACACGAGGAGATAAATTCTTGCCGCGCAATGACATTTGTAAGAGTATTACAAATTTTTCTTGAAGATCGACTCTGACGATTGAAATGATTCATGCGAGTCATCGTGCACTTGATGCGAGTCATCGACCTGTTGCACCTGCACTCTTCAAGGTGCGTTCTGTGCATACAGAATCTTCGAGGAACGAATCAAGATGCACTTCTAGTACTTGATATTTCAATAGATAATTTCAACAGAGAAAAGCGATTTTTTAAGAAAAATAATATACTCTTTTTTTCTAGATACTGTTTCAACGCATAATTAATAAGTATTGAAAATAGAATTTTACTGTAAATTACTTCGCCAATATTATTTCATTTATTCTTAGTATGATATTATATTATTAAATTATTGTGTGATTATTCGAACAATATTGAATATTGAATTATTTAGTATTATTTGATGCATATAATTAAATTAGTACATCATTAAATGATATCAAGCATTATCAGAAAAAATAGAATCAATCATATTAGAAAACGCTTTTTCGATCAATTTCAAGATATCTTTGTTTAAACAAAATTTTAATTTTATTTTTATGCCATTCCTCAGCAAAATATCGTAGCTGTGTTTAACAAATCTATCCATATAATTTTATTTCCGACGAATTTTATATTTAAAAATAAAATCTTAACTGTCACACATTTTTGTCAGTGTAATTTTTTTTAAGTTTTTAACTCCAGTTTTCACACTATTTTTAAATTCTCTTTACGAGCGACTAGAAGTCGGGCGGCATTATCCGCATAAAATTTTATTAACAAAATTAAATTTATACAGCATCTATATAACATTTATTTTTACTAAAATATCTTTGATCGAAACATTTAACTATGACGCAATTTGATTGAATTTGTATTGCAAAAAGAATAAGGAATAATATAAGTATATCGATTTAGAATTTGCGTCAGCATATAAATATTGATAAGTAGAAAAAAATTAATATATGTTTGCATAAAAAGGTGCTTCCACGAAATGATCGATTATTCCATCAATACATTTTCTTTTTAAACCTACTGTTGGCAAAAGAGAATTAATGTAGAAGAAATGTACCGCGAATGATACGACGCAAAGAAATGTTATATAATTCGTATATTAGTCCAATGTAAGATCAATTTGAATCACAAAAATAATATCGCGTTGCAAAGAAACAGCGCAATATTCTGCACAACTTAATTAAAATTGTGCAGAATATTGCGCTCTCTCTGATTAATCAAAAAGATTAATCTTTTCTGATTCTCTTCTGTATCAACGTTTATTTCGCTATTTTTTCTATATTCTTATTTTTTTAAACCGCCAATATTTTAAATAAAAAATATAAACACACAAATGAAAAAGGAGTCATCGACACTATAAAATTTAAAAACGTTCGCTCGATAATACATACATATGTAATAAACTTACGCACTTTATAAATAACTCATTACTGTCGGGGTTAAAGAGCAGATTTAATGTATAATCCGTAGCTCCAATCACACAGCTATTCGCGTACAAACATATATACATTAAAATTATCACTTTCTCTGATAATAAATAGAACAGTTTTCTTCAGTCTTTCGAAAGAATCGACGCTTACATGAATTATTGTTTTTAGTACAGTGAGAATTTATTCATCATTACAATATTTAAGCGAAGTGTTTTGTGCTGTTGTAAGATGAAAGAAACAATATCGGCGCAGTTAATAGTTATATAAAAACGCGAATTTTCCGTATCATCTTATTAAAGTGTTTTATTCCTGCGCGTGTAAGTATGTTTTTTCATTTAATAATGATCTGATGAATCTAAATACATAATATCTAATGTACTGTGCGAGCTAAAAACATTAATTTTTCAATTATTACAAGAAACATAAAATAATACGAAAAAGCAGATATTAAATTAATAAATAATTTGAGATTTTGTTATTTTGAATTTTATTATATAATATATTTTATAATAGCTGGGAGGGAGAATAGCTTTTTAAAGTATTTTAAAAATAGTTTTAAGAGTTTAATGATTACATTTTCCGACTGTATATAATATTTGTTAACCGAATTCCTTATAAAGGAAATATTTAATTTCGACGGAATAGTTTTTATCTTAGTAATTAAATTTATCTGGCATCAAATATTATCATTCTGGAAAAAAGTCTTAAAAAGTATTAGATAAGTCGTAGAAGTGAGATGATAACAATATCACATATCAGAAATAGTGTGTTTATTTATTTAAAGATATAAACTGCTAAGAATTTAATTTATTGCATTGTTGATATATTACTTTATTGACATAAATAATTTTATCTATGCATAAATAATTTAATCCGGCCATTATTTAAACGCGTGGTGCATTCATTGCGACTACCAGAGTTGAGCTACAAAGTCTTGCATCCGTGGACCACGAATCGTGATATTAAAAACGACGTTCATTATCAATTGTTGTTTACCGTGAAAGGCCCGGTGCACGCGAGAGAGAACACTACTCCGTTCATTATTCAATATCCCTTCCACGGTACGTATCTTGATACCCTTGCATCGACCGTGTCTCAGATTATTGAAGGATGAAATGTGAAAAAGAATCATATTCAATCGAGAGATCACGTAGCGCGCGCTCGAAACATGGATTCGCTAAAATCTAATGGATATATCGTCAATGCATTATGCAGTGAGTAAAAATATACAGTGATAAATACGTTTTGTTATCACAAGTGCGGGCAAGTGTACGAAGATGCTTGTTTCGTTTGTAAGGTCAAACTGCGATAATGATAAATTATATGATAAAGTTTTACGTCATTGTGATACATCTTAACGATCGTCATTCAATGTGCATTATATATAGTTATTAAATTAATAAATATTATTTGATTTTGTAACAAACACAATAGTTGGTAAATATATAATAAACACAATAGTTTGTAAAATATCTTATGACAGTCATTGACAGATATAGTCATTAAATAGTGTCTTAACAATTATTAAATTAGTAATTATTATCTTTTCATTGATTTTTAATGACTTAAATAGGCGCAACTATTTAGATTAATACTGCGAATTACTGTTAAGTTATATACAAGTTATTTGATAGACAATAAATATTCGGCCTGAATACTTAGCAATGTGTTATGAGTAAATTTTATAAGTGAATCATTCAATGTATCATACATATTCATTATCTCTCCATTACTGATTATACAGCTAGCAGTGATAGTAAACACGTTCCATTTAATTCATTATATGTTTGTATTTTATAGACACTGCTGTTTGTGAAAATTACAGCTAATATCATTATTTCTTTATGGTGTTGCAATTTTCACAAACAACAGTATTATACATATTTTTTTATATATTCATTATTTATATAATTTTATATATATATATATATATATATATATATATATATAATATTTAGCACATATGTATATAAAATTTAAATATATCATTTATATTTATAAACTATATTTATTTTCTTATAATACAGAAATAATAAAACGTTTTCAGAAGTATGAGTTAAAATAAAAACAAGAATATTGTTGGCTGGAAATTGTTTAAAATTGCATCACAATAAAAATTAAAAATAAACTTTAAATTATATTAAAAATTAAAGTCAAAATTAAATTAAAATAATTTAAATTGAAGACTGCAAATCGAGGAAGAATTTATAATTTAGTTTCCTGAAAAAAGTTGGACTTTAATAACATATTAAGAGACCTGCTATGTCAAATTTTTTTGTATGTTTTTTTTTTATAGCGGAGATTAAGAAAACCTTCAATATGTCAAAAACTAGTACAGTGCCCGGATTAGCTTATCTATCAGCGAGAGAGCACCTAACGCTAAAAACTGGGGCTAATTTTCTGGAGGCTAAAAGAAAAATCGACGGTGCAGAAGGATTGTGGAGGATTGAAAACAAACTCTACGACTTAGAGAATTTTACGAAATCGCATCCGGGTGGTGCAGAATGGCTTCGGCTCACAAAAGGAACTGACATCACCGAATTATTCGAGGTATCGAATCAAAAATATATCATTATGTAAAATTATTCACCTTAAACCGACGTCATCGTGTACACTCACTCCAAAAAAGCGGTACACATAAAATTTTGAAAAAATCACCAAATTTCAAATTACGATAACTTCGTAAATAATAAAGATAGAAAGGTTTTTAAAAAATGAAAATAAAGCTTGAAATCTCTTCTTTAAGAATCTATTATTTTCAATTAAGCGAGATAAATTTATTAAAAATGGCGGATGATAAAACGAGATTATGCAAAATTGAAAAATATTGGCCATGTTTGCCACGGCACATGTTGTGAGTCAAATGTTGCAACTCAATGGGATAAAAAGTATATAATAGCATAGAGTCTCCCCTATAAAATGCTTTTTTATTCATCTCGATACGATAATTTTTCGCCGAGATATTCGCATTTGAATAAAAAGGCAGCTTTTTACTTTAAATGCGAATAACTCTGCGAAAAATCATCATATCGAGATGAATAAAAAGTATTTTAAAAAGAAAACTCTGTACTATTATATGCTTTGTATCCCATTCAGTTGCGACATTTGACGCACACCATGTGCCGTGGCAAACATGGCCATTATTTTTCAACTTTGCATGATCTTGTTTTATCATCCACCATTTTTAATAAATTTATTTTGCTTAATCGAAATTAATAAATTTTTAAAGTAGTGATTTCAAGCTTTATTTTCATTTTTTAGAAACCTTTCTATCTTTATTATTTACGAAATTATTGTAATTTAAAATTTGGTAATGTATTAATAATAAAATATTAAATTAAATTAATTCAATTTTAAAATAAATTTTAAGATTAATTTTAATAGTTGTAATAGTTGTAATAAAATGTAATACTAATAATGAAAAGCATTTAAATTTTGTAACGAGAAGGATAGTTAATAAGAATATTCTCAAAAAGTAAAGCTATAGATTTTTTTTTGTCACTTTTTAACATATTAAATATAAAATTGGATTCAATTTTTGCGTTCTCTATTTTGAATATATAATTACTTTTTAATAGTCATAATTTTATAATTTATAATATTTAAAAAACATCTACGATTTACTGTTGTACTTTTAATTGAGATTCCCCAATTTTAATGTTGTAGAGCCATCACCTTACCGATAAGGCCGAGCGGCTACTGCCGAAATTCTATGTTCGGGAAGCCACGACACCGCGATCTGCACCTTGGACCTTCTCATCAGACGGTTTTTATCGTACATTCAAGAGACGGGCAGCCGAGGCTTTAAAGAGCGTCGATTTTCATCGGCCATCCACGACAACGAATCTCATTATCGATTCCTTGATGGCCATGACATTTGCATTGAGTCTTGCGGGTGCCTTCGCCAATTCGTACATAATTGTCTTTTTCGCCAGTGAGCATCCTCGCGCGAAGTTATAAATAATATTAAAAACATATATATATAAAATATGATTAAAAGCAAAATATGATTAGAAACATTCGTTAACCAAGGAGTAAAACGCAATACTGAAATTTAACAAAAATTTCTACATAAAATAAACTATAAAAATTAAAATGATTGTTAACATTATAAATGTGGGTTTCTGTATATATAATGAGTATATATATATATATATATATATATGCATATAAAATTTAGAGTAGATGTGGAAGATATTAAGGGTCGCCAGTGTTATAAAGAAAAAATAATCAACTCATCCTTCTCTCTCGGCCAAACTAGCAATGATATTTATTTAGAAATCACAACGTTTCGATCATTATATTTGGTTAATACACGTAATACCAGACAGACAAGTTTTTAATTACAGTAATTAAAAACTTGTCTATCTGGTATGACATGATTAATTCGAGATAAGTTCGATTTTATGATTATAACGAACCATATCACTCGATAAGGACCAAATATAATAATGATCGAAACGTTGTGATTTCTTAATAAATGTCATTGCCAGTTTGATCGAGAGAGAAGGAGTTAATTATATAAAATTTAGTATAATGCTATATTAATTTTTCTGATTATTAAATAATTGTATACCAATCTCGTTAATTATTTGACGATAATTAATTCCAGGCATTTTTCTGACATGGACTACTGTTGCTGCACACAATTACTTCCACATGCGAGACAACTTTCGCATGTACTATTTCGATCTCAGTATATTATCCTCGAAGAATTGGCGTATCTCGCACGCAATGAGCCACCATATGTATACTAATACTTTGTGGGATTATGAAATTTACGCGTTCGAACCATTTCTCCAATGGATGCCTCGTAAGGATAAATCCTACTTCGCGGGAATAATAAGTAAAATTATCAGTCCTATCGTCTGGATGCTTGTGTTTATGGTCGAAGGCGTCAAACGGTAACAATTTACATTAGTTTATTGAAATAAAAAAATTTAATTCATAACTCTACTTTAAATCTAGATTTTGAAAATTATACACTAATTTAATTTTTTCTAATTTTAATATTCTGATTTTAATTTAGAATTTAGATTCAATATTATTACATAAAAAGTTATTTATTACATAACTTTTGTTTTTAATTGTAAAATGTTGTATGTATAATTTGATTATAAAAATTAAATTAAACTTTGAATATATACATATACTTGCGATGTTTTTTGATATTAAAAATTTGTTCAATAGAATGTCAAAACTTTATTTACGATCTCGATATTGTACTGAAGGCTTTAATTTTTCCAGATACTACTCGGTGTTTATGGAATGGAAAGTCTTTGAATTTCGCGACTTCGTCCCCTTTTTGCTGCCTTTGACGATGAGTTTGCTGGCGCCCAAGATTCTCGTCGCATTCAAGCTATGGCTAATAATGCTGCTGATGAGTAGCGCTCTGTTTGGCTTAATTGGTTTCAACGCAGCCCATCATCATCCCGATATTTTCCACGACGGTGATATCTACAGGTTACACATATCATTTGTTCTTCGCTTCGTTAAATTATTGAATCGCTCTATTGATTAATCTTACATTGTTCTTCTTATAAATAAGTAATAATAATAATAAAGTTTTATTTTTTAATTTTTAGCTAATTTATATTTATTGTTTAAATATAATATTCAATATTTATTTAAATAAAAATTTTAATTAAGATTTAAATTATAAAATTTTAATTATTAAGATTATACCATAATTTTTCTAATATGCTAAAGAAATGATCTGGACTGGGGTCTGCTCGAGATGGACGCAGTGCGCGATCGCAAGGTGATCGATGATTCAATCTTCCTGGCGATTACCAACTTCGGTTCGCACACACTGCACCATCTGCTGCCTACTGTGGACCATTATTATCTGGAACTGTGCATGCCCGCTTTTCTGCAAACTTGCAAGGAATTTCGCGTCGATTCGGGCAAATGGACGCAGTGGGAGCTCATCAAGGGACAATTCAGGCAACTCACGCGAACCGAAGGAAAGAAGAATCACAGATGATTCTCATCTTCGACACGAGACAGTTCATTCAATTGTAAGACATTTTATATATTATTTTGTATCATCTTTTTTGACATAAATATCTCATTGAATAATGATAAATGAAATAAACTGAAATTTTTTCATCGTAATGTAAGTCAATAAGAAATTTTATAATACAAGATCAAATTTTTTTAAATTAAATTTAAATTTAATCTAAATATAACATATGGAAAAAATTAATTAATTTAAAAGTAAACAAAGATTTTTCGAAGAATAAAAGACTTCGAGAGAAGATATGTACTTTGTTCAAAATAAACATTCTTTTATCGTTGTTTCGCACTGCTGTAAATTATATTATACGTAAAATAAACTGGACAATTAGATTGCCATTAAATAATGCTCCTGCATTAATGATATAACGCAATGCAATAAGCAGACTCTTATCTCTACTGGTTGCATAATTCACGATAAAATAATCCGATATAAGTGAGGTGATTTAATTCTTATCTTTATTTATTGCTTATTTACTTTAATAAATACATACTTCATCTCTCTTTATAAATTACAATTAAGTTTGTAGGATACGATATCATTTGGATGACACATGTAATGATACGCGCTGTTGATTGACGTTTTGTTCGCGATTTCGCGTTTCTCCTCGCGAGTATATATTATATATAGATATATATTTTTTTAAACTTTTTTCTCATTTACCTTCAACACTTTTGCTTGTTACCTTGTGCATTTCACGAGGACGTAAATGTTTATATGTGTGTATTTATCGCTCTGTTATTTTTCCCCTTTATTATTCTGCGTGTATATGTGTATATGTGTACGTATTAATATATCTCTCGCTGGCTCTCGCTCTCTCATCGTCCTCTCGCTCGATATCTCTCATTCTGCCACTTTTTCTCTCCCTCGACCGTCAGCTCGCGTGGTGAATCAAAACACACCCTCTCTCGCATCCCCATCTTTTCCTTCGATCTTCCTGAGCGAACGTTAATTTTATCTTGTCTTTCTCTTTTATTGACCGAACACGTAAAAATTATTGTCAAGAAAAATGATCGCGAATTCGTGATCTCTAGATGTAATAATGGATCGATCGCTCGATTGCGAGATGACGATGCCGTTGAGAGCTCCGAGCGAGCTCTCGGATTCGTTGCATATATATATATTCGTGTCTTCGTTCGACGATGGACTCGATGAGGACGATGGATGTTCTTCCTCCTCCTCCTTCTTCTTCTTCTCTTACCCTTCTTTAATTTTGCTTGAGTTTTCTGTTGTTAAATTTTTGTTATTTTTTTTTCCTTTTTGTCGGTTTATAATTATTTACGCGAATTCCTCGGAAGGAGCTTTACAGATCACCATCGGGCTGCAGGTCGAAGCGTGGCGGGAATGCGGAACCATCTAATAGGGGTTTAAACGCAGGTCGGTGTGGCTGAAAGGAGACAGACACGTGAAACATTAATCTCTCGTGAATAACTATAAATATGCGGGAGTGTATTTGCGGGTTTTAATCAATATAAAAATATGTAATTCCTCACGGATTTAGAAAACATTGATATAATGATTAACGAGGCGTGGGAAGAGGAGACGAGTGACACGTTCTCTGTGTCGTTCCTGCTCGTGATCCAATTTTTCTTGCTTATATTTTTTTTTCATTTTGACATTTGCACCCGAATGCGTCAATAGAATCGAGATGACGTAACGAGGGTCGTGACACCTCTATTTTGCTAAATATAGAATAAACAACACGATATCTGGTAATTATTTTTACAACAGAAGGAATTTATCTCAGACATGTAACTCTCTCGTAATATTAGTTACAATTATCTCTTTGCGGGAAATCACGATTTATATAATTATTTGATTGCAGTTCTTGTGTTAATATTGAACTGTTAGAAACAAAAATCAACAATAATGTATATTGGGGAGAAAAGGAAGAATCTTTCCGGGTTGAAAGAAAATGAAATAAATGAAGACTTTCTCTTTTTTTCCTCTCGAACCAGAGTAAACACGTACTTATCTCATTAATAAAAGAAAATTAAATAAATCACGAAAAACTTCGAAGAGAGGGGAACGAATTTATAATTGAAATATTTTAATTTGAGTAAGCTAGGGGAATATATATAAAATTTCTCAGGAATTATTCTGAAGAGGATCATCCACGTGAAATTTCGCGATTGATTCCTGCGCGAGATCACAAAGAACTGCAAAAGATGCGCTAAACACTACTAGGCTAGAGATTGAAACCGGTTTAATAATTTTGCGCCAAATAAAAATTAACTGCAAAAATATGGGGTATATACAGGGTGTCCGGTAACTAACGGACCAACGATTACAAGTGGATTCTTTGGTCAATTTGGGAACGATTTTTCCTCAGCAAAAATGTCGAAAAAGGTCATTATTTTTTACAACTTTCCAATATTTGTCATTACGTATCTTTATAACTAAGCCTCAAATTAAAATTTTATTATAGTAAACTCTACCTGAAATTAACTAAAGACTGTAATTATGTTAGACTTTTAACTCCAAAACATTTAGTTTTCAAAAAATCCATTTTTTTATATTGCTTATAACTCGAAAATTATTGACTTCTCAACATTTTTGCTAAGGAAAAATCGTCTCCAAATTGGCCAGAGAATCCGCCCTTAATCATTGGTCCGTTAGTTACCGAACACCCTGTATATTGAGAAAATTAACGCAAGAATATCGAAAATAATTTGTAGGAATAATTAACACTTTCTCTTCAATTATCAATTTAATAAACCAATTAAGAACCGATTAAGAATATTCTTTTTCTCTTATATGTTGAATGACTTCGGAAGTCATTCTTTTTTTCTCACAATACCAGATTGCACCTGTAGAGGAAATAATTTCCGGTTCCAATCGCTATTGACAGAGCTCGAGAAAATTGCTCTAACGTCGTCTATACACTGACGTCTAATTCGCAGTTTCTAAAAGAGAGAAGGTTCGAGGAGGTGCGATACACAGAGAGTTAATGAACGAAGAACAAGCTCGGAACCACTCGAGAGAGCGTTATCGGTGCGTTACACAGGTGCAAACGTGACACTGACGGATGCAGGGGAAGAAGGAGAGTCATAATCGCGTGTTCCTCTCGCGTTTCGTAAACCCCTGATCTCATTCTCTTTCTAATCTGTATCTAGCTCTAATTTCTCTCTCTCTCTGTCTAGAAGATAATCCTCACACACACCTCACGCACGCGCCTTACGACACGTGCTTTACACGGACTTACATGGACCAAGCGCGATGTGTGTGCGTTTACTCCAACATGGAGGGCGCCGCCTTACGTTTCTGTTGCGGCTGCACACAGGAATACACAGATCGCTCATTAGATACCATCCGCAAATTTTACACCCTCGCAGCGCGCTCTCTTATTCCGATTCCTCTACGATTTCCGAGGCGATTCGCGTTCCCGATATCAATTTGTAACTCGAATGCAAGCGCGATCGATCATTTTCACGAGCTTACTTGATTTTTGTAATAATGCTTAACCGAAGCCTGGTATAATTTTTGATATTTGACAGGATGCGATATTTCATATCTAAAAGATTGCCTTATATACATATTACAAAATAAATCGCTCGAATAAATCCACAAAATTTATAATTAAAATTGAAATGTATGATAATTTCAAAATAAAAAAGTTGAGAGCTTCCATCGATAAAATGAAAATCAAACGCTACTCGACAAATACTCCGTCGACATTATTAAAGAATGAGAAAATTAAAAAAAAAAAGAGATACATATCATATTTCGATATCGAGCATTAAAGATTCAAAATTCTAAGATGACGATAAAGAGATCCGGTAACTTACCACTGGGCTGAGTCCGCGTGCGGCGCTTCCGCCACGTCCCTTGGTGCGGAACTTGGTGATAGCTTGTTCGGCAAGGTCCGCCCTTTCTTCAGCTTCCTCCAGTTCTTGCTGCGCCTTACGGAACTTGGCGAGATTCAGCGCGGCGATCTCCTCCGCCTCTTCGATCTGCCTCTTGTATGTCTTGATCTTCTGCTGGAGTTTGTCAACCAGATCCTGCATGCGCTCGTGGTTCTTACGGTCCTCGTCCGCCTGAAAAAGAAAACCGCAAACGCGGCTACTTAAGTGCGAGTCAAAATTTCGATTGACAAAAACGAAAAGAATTGGTCGAATAATAAAAATAAGATTAATAATTTAATAGAATAAAAGCAATTTGTTTGATTATAAAATAATTAATTTAATTCACGTGAATATAAAACAGAAATATATAAATTAAATTTTGTCCTTTAAAAATTAATGAATAGTTAAAACTCGAATATGACATTTAGTTGAAGACGGGACTTTACCTGGAAGCTCAGCTCCTTGATACGACGCTCGGACTTGCGCAGATTCTTCTGAGCGTCGGCGTGTCTCCTTTGCTCGCCATCGAGCTCGTTCTCCAGCTCGCGTACGCGCTGTTCCAGCTTCTGGATGGCCTTCTTGCCGCCCTTGAGAGCATTTGCCTCGGCCTCGTCCAGGCGCACCTGCAGTTCCTTGATCTGTGTCTCCAGAGCCTTGCGCAATTTCTCCTGGGTCTGAGCATGATCTTGTTCGGCGCGCAATTCGTCCGCCAACCTGGCCGCGTCCACCATCGCCTTCTTCGCCTTCTCCTCCGAATTCTTCGCCTCGTTGAGCAGCTCATCCAGATCGGACTAACGAAAAAAAAAAGAAAATATATATATATACACACATAAATATACAACTTGTATGAAAAAAATAGTATATTGTGTATCAAGTGCAAAAAGTTGACAATTGTCAATCCGCACATGATACACATACTATTTTGTATTACAAGTGCAGGCAAAGTGGCTTTGTGCGCGTTTTCTGTGCGCGAGGTGGCCGATCGCACGCCGCCATCTTGCGACGGCACGGTGCGGGAATAGCCGCGTTCAAAGTCGACTGAAGCCGTGGGCAATGACTTTGAATGCGGCTTATTCACTCACCGCGTCGCCGCTAGATAGCGGCGTGGGAAATCGGCCGCTTTCCGCACAGAAAACACGCACACAAAGTGCCACTTTGCCTGCACGTGTAATACAAAAAAAAATAATTGTAGACATTAATCAACACTCACGTGGAGAGTCTGCAGTTCGGCCTCGAGTTTCCTCTTGGCGCCAGAAATGGAAGCGTTCTGGGCGCTCAGTTCGTTCAACTGTTCGTGACAGTCGGCGAGCTCCTGCTCGGCCTGGCGACGACCACGGTCCGCCTGTTCAAGGAGAGTGCGGCTCTCCTCAAGCTCGTTCTGCAGGGCGTTGGCGCGACGCTCTGAGATGCCGAGGAGCTCTCGGGCCTCGTCGCGCGCTCTCTGTTCTTCCTCGAGAGCGGTCTGCACGTCCTTGAGCTGCTGTTGGTATCGCTTGATGTTCTTCTGCGCCTCGGCGTTCGCCTTGTTTGCATGGTCCAACGCGATCTCCAACTCGTTGATGTCCGCCTCCAGCTTCTTCTTCATGCGCAGTGCCTCAGCTTTGCCCTGAGAATCGAATTTTTTCATTATATAGACATCATTCTTTCGTAAGAATATAAATATGACATTGAGATAAATTTTTGAAAAGCACAGCTCACCTTGGCTTCTGCTTCGAGGGAAGCTTGCATGGAGTCGAGGGCGCGTTGATGATTCTTCCTGGTGTTCTCGAATTCTTCCTCCTTCTCCTGAATGCGGCGGTCGATCTCCTGTCTGACCTGGCTGAGCTCGAGCTGGCTGCGCAGCACCTTGTTCTCTTCTTGTTCAAGAGCGGCCTCGGCCTCCTCGAGAGCGGCCTGCAATTCGTCCTTCTCAGCCTCCAAGCGCTTTCTGGCCTTTTCGATCTCGTGAATGTTGCGGCCACCTTCGCCGATCTGGTCCAGCAGATCCTTCACCTCGTCGGCGAGGTTCTTGTTCTCGCGACGTACCGCCTCCAGCTGTTCCTGACCTTCCTCGTAGGCACCTATTCAATCAATAATTCATTTTATGATTAAATAAAATTACCATAATTAATAATGATTTTGCATATCTTTCTTATATATTTTGATCTCGACAAGTTCGAAGGGAAAAATCGAAATCGCCCGATTTCTCTCACCTCTGAGCCTGAAGAGCTCGGTGCTGTAGTTGCGACACTCCTTCTGGCTGGCGTCGAGCTCGGCGGCGAGATCGTCGACCTTGAGCTTCCATTCCCCGATGATCTTGTCGAAGGCCTTCTGTTTCTTCTCGGCGGCGTTGGCGATGGCGGTCGCGCGGTCCACCTCGATCTGCAGGTCCTCCACTTCCGTGGACAAGCGTTGCTTGGTCTTCTCCAGAGCGATGACCTTCTGGTTGAGAGACTCGATGGTCTCTTCCGCCTCGGCGAGCCTGGCCTGCAGCTTCCTCTTCGCCTCCTCGAGTTCTTCAGCCCGGGCGACGCCCTCGGATTCGTACTTGGTGCGCCAGAGCTGCGCCTCGGCGTTGGCCTTGCTGAGTTGACGCTGAAGGTCGGCCTTGCCCTCTGCCTCCTCCTCGACCTGCTCGCGGATGTTGTCCAGGTCGTGCTCCAGATTGCGGAACTTGCCGAGCAGGGTGGCGCGCTCGCGCGACTCCTCGTCCGCGAGCCTCTTCGTGTCCTCCAGTTGCGTGGTGAGAGAGATCTTGATCTTCGACAGCTGGCTGACCTGGGACTCGGCCTCCTCAAGCTGGCGCAGCAGATCGCTGTTCTCGATCGACAGCTTCTTCTTCGCGGCGTCGAAGTCATTCAGAGTGCGGTTCACCTCTTCAAGCTTGCCCTGGGTCTCGTTCAGCTGATGCTGCAGCTGCTTCACGATCTTCTCCTGAGCAGCCTGGATTTCGAAAAGAATTTTAGCGCCCGAACGATCGCCGGAATCTTTTTACGTCGAGCTCGCCTTTAGATAGTGTTAAAGACGAAAATTTCTTTTTTTTCCAGTATAAAAAATAAATTAAAATCAAGTAAAAAAATATGAAAAAATATCTTTTTTTAACCGTGATAAATGAGACACCAAAGGCAAGTTCGCATCGTTTACACGCAGGTGGCAAGCGATGCTGAGCAAGCGGGGACTATCGACTCACTCGTCAGACAAATGATTCACGAATGATCTTGGGGAAAGAGTCGTGGCTGCGTCTCTGCACCTAGCGGAAGCTGTTAGTCGCATTAATCCGGATATTATTAACGGGGTCGAGCCCGAAGGCTTACCTTCTCGTTGCTCAAGTGGTCGCAAGATGTGCGCAAGTCGTTGCACTCGCTGTAGTATTGCACCTTCTCCTTCTCAACCCTAACAATCGACGGAAACAGTTGAAGGGATCACAGATGAATGACAATAACGCGAATTATTTTCGATTTGCATTCCAGAACGCCGGATCAAATTGTCTTATTGCATTATTTTTCGTAACGAAAATATAAGTAATCTGATTAATAATAAAAAATTAGTGATAAATAAAATTCATACTTTAATTAAGTATTTAAATGGAGTAAGAGCAAAAATTTTAATTAATTTAATCTAAACTCGAGAAATTAATTACTTATTTGCAAATATATTTATTTGACTATCTACATTATTTTTGTCTAATTAATATATTTATAATTTATTTATTCCTTTAAATATTTTTATCTGATTTCTATCTGAAATTTAATATATTTTTGTATGTTTTAATAGACAATGAATATTTAATCCAGCATTCATGACACAACATGACAATTCAGGCAACAAGACATGTCTTTCAAAAATACATTCCATTCTGGTAATCACATATGTTTTATAAATGAAGAGAATTATCACGAGGGGCGTACAGGAAGTCCGAGATTACGTCTAGAAATTCTACAAGATGCACGAGGAACACTCTCGTCATATCTCTTTCTCATTTTCAAATACCTTCTCTCGCGAAACTTGATCCGTGAGAGCGCGCGAACCGTTCAGATCGGCGTGGATGTCTTGTCGACTCTTTTCGGCTCTATCGCAAATATTACGTTAAAATCCCCCATTCTTGCCCTTACACTTTTATTTTCAATGAAAATCTAACAGTCGTTAATATAAAAAAATTCAAACTTATTCAATCATCGATGTTTCCTAATCGCTTAAAAACACAGCATAACTTTCTCTTAATAAAAAAATTCTAAATTTATTATTTGTTGAAAAATCTTTAAATTATAATTAATGATCAAACAACCAATTCTCAATCTATCTCCATCAAACTTAAATGTAGAAATAAAAAATTGATAAAGATAAAAAATGATAAAAATTAAAAAATCGATAAAGATTTAAAAAATGATAAAAATAAAAAATTGATAAAGATAAAAAATGAAAAACTATTATTTCTCTTCGTAAGAAAAGCAGTGAATCAAGTCTGGTGAACTCACCTAGCCTTAAGCTTGTTGAGGGTATCGATCTGCTCGCCCATCTCGGCGACAGCGTCGTTGTGCTTCTTGCGCAGACTGGCCAGGGAAGATTCATGCTGGATGTTGGCTTCTTCAAGATCCCTGCGGAGCTTGCTCAGCTCAGCCTCGCGCTTCTTGTTCAGCTCGATCTGAGCGGAAGTAGCACCGCCGGCCTCCTCCAAGCGTTCACCAAGTTCCTCGAGCTCGCGTGCGAGATCGCTGCGCTGCTTCTCGGCCTTGGCGCGTCCACCGCGTTCCGCCTCGATCTTCAAGAGAAAAATAATCAGATTTTATCATTTTTCCACAATTATGCCGATAGTGATATACATTCAAATCATCGTATAAGAGACAAAAATCTGATATTTTTTTATTAGTATCTTTTGATTAGCTTTCTTTGATTTAAATTTTTAATTATTTTCAGTTTATATATATATTTTTTGAACTTTTTAGGAAAGAAGAGATTAAAAATTTGATAAATTAGAAAATGTCAATTTTGATGAATTTTTTTTCGACAATAATTAAAAGAGATAAACTTAAAATTCAGTGAATTATTTCTTTTTTTTTTTTCAAAATTAAAAATTTTGGAAAATAAAGTATATTTTTCTTGTCATACCTCTTCCTCAAGTTCTTCAATTCGAGCCTGCAATTCCTTGATCTGTTTCTGCAGTTTGCCGACAAGGGATTGCTCGTCCTCGAGCTTGGCGGTCAAGGATGAGAGTTCCTTGTCTTTGCGTTGAATAGTCTGTTCGAGTTCCTTCTTATTTCTTTCAAGATCAGCGACGGCTTCCTGTGTGAGTTTCAGATCGCCTTCCACCTTCCTCTTTGCCTTCTCGACGTCGGCACTGTATAAATTCAATTTCAACGAACAATATAAATATCCTTGTTAACACTGCGATATTTTTTGTCTTTTTTCTAGAAATATTTTGTAATATATTACTATAAAATTAATTTTACGCGCATAAAAATAGATTATTAATTAACTTTTCTTTCAGAAAAGTGAATCAAAAAATTAAAATAAATTATGTTTGGACATTCTGTAGACAGATTTTCGATTATCAAATGCATCGAATTCACTTACCGTGATTTCTTTTCACGTTCGAGGGAGTCCTCGAGTTCGTCAAGGGTCTGTTCGAGCTTGAGCTTGACTTTGTTGAGGTGGTTGACCTTATCCTCGGCGGCCTGGAGCTCCTCGGCGGTCTTCTGGTTGACTTCACCTTGGTTCTTCTTCTCTTTGTTGAGCTTGTTGATGAGCTCATCTTGGTGAGCGATTTCGTCATTTAGATTCCTGATCTGGTGGTCTTTCGTCGCTTTATCCTGTTCGGATTTCTGCAGATTTAGTTCGAGATCCTCGATATCTTTCTTCAGGCCAGATACTTCCTGTTCGAGTTTCTTCTTGTTCTGGAAGAGATTGTTCCTCGCATCCTCCTCTTCCTTGAATCTTTCGCTGAGGTCCTATACGATTGAAAAATATCCAAATAAATATTGACAATATTTTTTTCCAATATTATGTAGTAATTATTATGTAGTATACATATGCATGATTTTATGTATTCATATTTCCAATGTTTAATTATTATTTTTTTCAGATATATTCGATTTTATTTATTCTGTAAATATTCCCATTTATAGTTTACATATTATATTTATATTTTAATATTTTAATGTCGCATCTTCTATTATTCAATATTCTACATTGTTTGATTTTTTGATAATTTTATTTTATAATATTATTCTCTGCATACATTATTATTCCGTTTTGTTTATTAATGTTCCATTAACGTTTCACTTTATTCCTATTCGTTAATATTAGTATTATAGATCCAACATGTCTTTAAAAAGATGATATGATTATCAGAGAGTCACGTTTTATCTTATTTCTTTAAGATGACATAATCTCGAGATTTTTTTGCAGAAGTAGTATTTAGGTCGATGACAGATTCGCGTGTAAGATTAATCTCGCTGGAGTATATCCTTTGATGCGCGCCAAGTCCCCTTCATCGAGAATGTCGAACGCATTTTTCTTGCTCGGGTTCGCAATTAATTGGCAATGACGTGCAATTGCAGGGCTTACACACATACGAACGCCTAATATTAGTTAATGCGGGGGCAAAGAATATTGGCACGACGTCTTGCCCAGCCGACGCGATGCGATCAATCTCCTCGTTCATCGCGCTTATCTCTTCATCGTTCGCTGATTCGGCTAGCCGAATCTATATTTGTCGAAAGAAAAATTTGCTATTTCTCGCAAATTTCTTTCTTCTACATATATCGCCGAAGTATGAACGTTCTAAGAAAAAAAAAACCTGAAGGAATCTAATGAACAAGAAAATATGGGAAATATGAACATATGTTTGTGTCTTCTTAATCGATGTTGAAAAAAAAATTAAAACATACATTTTAGAAGAAAAAAAGAGAAATAATCGTTTTAATTAAGTCTGGCAAAAGAGATTCCGGGAAGAGAAAAAAAGAAAAGATACTCCACAAAATATCGAAAAAGAAATGATCTCTTCTCTTCTTTCCTATACATAAGAAATAATCCGGTGCAAAGTATCGACCACGTGGATGGAAAAATCGCTGATGATGACACGGGCCTCGTCGGCGATGATGAAGAGATCACTGGCAGTGAAGGAGATACGGCTGCGTGATTATGACGCACGCTTATGCACGAGGTAACATGCATATAAATATACCGTACACCTGTTACCTCCTTCGTTTTCTCTCATCTGCACTCTCCAGCGCGCTTTTAAAGCCGCCGCCCACTTTTAATAACCTGGAATCTGGGATCTGCTAAATTTGCTGCACGTGTCCTCTCTCTCTCTCTCTCTCTCTCTCTCTTCGTTCTTTTCCCCTCTTCCTTCTTCCTGCATCGCCTGACCGTAAATGGTGCCGAACATAACGCGGTCGTAGCCTTCCGCTTCTATGATCGCGAGAGGATCCCTCTCGACCAGGTCAATCGCGATGAACTCGATGTACGAGCTTTTAATAGGCGATCGCGATATTAGCTCGCTTAACGAAAGTGAAACAGCCACTTTTAACAGTTATGAATTTCATAGAGACTAATCGGAAAACACTACATTTTTTTCAAGCACTGATAACAATAATAGAAATAAATTAACAAAATATTTAAAAAGGAAAGACAAAAATTAAATGAGATGACAAGTAAATAACTCGAGATTAAATAAATGAAGAATACTTATAATATCGATGGAATGGCCAAACATTCTGGATGTTTAAAAAAAATCTCTATTAACAGCTAATAATTTACAAAAAGATAATACAGAGTTAGATATTATAATTATAAATAATTATATTCTGATTTTATAATTGTGATATCGCTCTTATATTTTTATACGTTGTATCATGATCTGCTAGATGTAATATTTCTTATTTAATGTTTTAAGTGACTTGAAAATATTTCATATCTAAAATCTTTTTCCATCTAATTTTATCGAGAATGGAGTATTAAATCGCTCGTTGAAGAACGGTAGATGTTAGGAAACGACGACGAGCGTCGCGATGACAGGCGATGACGGGTCGGAGTAGCCGCGAGTCTCAAGTGAATATTTAAAAGGCATCGTTAAAAATAGTCCAGCCTGGAATTCGGCTGGAGAGAAAGAGAGAAAGAGAAAGAGTGAGAGAATCTGAAATTCTAGTCACGATCACGACTCGTCTATTTTCTGCGAGCGACGCCTTCCAGAAATTATGACCTCTTCTCCAGCGCGCGTTTGTATGCGTGCTTACTATCGGATATAAATACTGCGTTTCCACGCCGACGCGATCGTCCAAAATTTCGGCGTTCTCTCAGCTTCCTCTAACGTGTATTTACAACCAAGAGAAACAGCGAGGAAAATATCAAATTATCGTGGAACGTAATGCGAGGAAATTCTCGGGAAGCCAGTTCCCAAAATGATCATACGTTATTTAAAGCTCGAGCTTTAATTACTGCGCGGAGAGATATTCATAAGATAACGAATTAATTAAGTCGTAAAAAGAAAAGTGGATACCAGATGTGCCTCTAAAAATTTAAATTTTTTCATCAATTTTATCGCACAAAAGAATATAATTATCATATTCAAAAAATTGCACTACTTTCTAAATACTGATATTTTTAATCAATCTCTTTAAACAAAATCTTGAGAATAGAAAGAATTTTATCACGAGCAATTATCATTTATTAAAAAATTCCTATATCCCTAAAGAGAGATTGAAAATGTTAGCGTTGAGGCGTTGAAATCTCCAGAGAGATACGAGAGGGAAGAACGCATTTGTTGAAGTTTCTCGACAAACGTCATTTGTATAAGCGATATTAAATGACGGGGAGATGTAATAAAATCACGTAAATGCTCACGTACGTTTATAATAATTTTAGCAGCCTCGATATGACCGAATATATATAAGTGTCGTCCGCGTAACCGGATGACGCGTCCGCGTCGCGCTCGGCACGAAGAAAAATAGCGCGTCTGACTAATTCCGCGCCTCCACTACTTTGTCGCGCTACTTCGCGCGCCTGGGAAGCCGTAATCCGCCGCGTAATTCGAGCCGATTTAAATCACGAAAACACTCCCTCCCGCTGACAATTAATGGCATCCCGATTTAAACCACGTTCTTCTGAAAAATATCTCCCGCTTCTCTGGGGAGGACTCGAGCGACTCGCGATAATTTAATATAACTATGAATTCTCGGCGGAAAGAAAGAGAGGAATTTCAATCCCGTTTTTTTTTTTATCAAGTTTCGAAACTTCTTAATACTTTTTTTCAATCGAAAACATTTTTAAGCTATATAGTTATGAGTTTGTCTCATTATAAAATTTCTTTTCATTAATATTACTGTATTTTATTAATATTACTATTACTATTAGTATATTATTTAGTATTTTAATTTAATTTGAAATTTATTATATATATATATATATATATATATATATATATGTATATGTATATATAATCGAATATATAATTTAATTGACGCAAGTGAATGAATAGTCTATGTACGATGATGCTAATTATATATGGCTTCTCGCCCTTCGATATTAATTTAATCGCATAGCTTGCGCCACTGTGCTAATTAAGCCGCTAATTATATTACTTTCTGCCCTTCGCAGTTAACTAACTTATAGCTTGCGCCACTCGCAAATAAACTTAAAAATAATTTCATTCGCGATTTCTACAAGTAATAGCTCTTTCATATAGAGTTATTCCTATTTTAATCACCGTAGTTAATAATTATATACACATTATCAAATATTAATAAAAATATGATTATTATAAAATCATTTATTTTGTATTATATATATATATATACTCTCTTCGATTGTCGAAAATTATAATAATCAAAATTTTTAAATATCTTAATGAAGAGATTTCACTGTAATTAAAAATCCTATCATTGATTTTCAAAATATATTTTTCGATTTTCCGTTAACGCGAATCAAAATTTTACACAAATTTTTACGAAAATTTCAATAGACAAGCTTTTCAGATTTGCAATATGGTCCAAGTTAGGACGATTTTTGAATTTATAATTATTAATAATAAATTTTGAAAAAATTGCTAGACATATAAATAATTTTGATTCGACAAATTTGAATTAGAAAAAAATCCATAGAAATGATTCTTACGTGAAGTTGCGACTCGAGATCGGCTTTCTGCGCGTTCAATTTCAAGGCCTTCTCCTGGAAATCGGAGAGCGAGCCCTTCTCACCCTCCAGCTGGCGCAGCAGGTTGGTCTTCTCCGAGAGAAGCTTGGCGTTCAATTCTTCCAGCTCCTTGCGCAGCTTTTCCTCCTTCTCGAAAGCTTCCTGGGCCTTCTTGGCTTTCTCCTCCAGCGCCTGCAACGAAGCCATTTTATCTTCGTACGTGCCGCCGTTCACCAGCGGAGTTGGTTTCTCGATCAGCACCGTGTCGCCCATAATTGCTCACCCTCGGAGAAATTAACCGAGGAACGCACACGCGATTTGCACTCGATTTCGATTTCCTATTCCCGCGGGAAAACGAGAATAAGACGGGGAAAAGGATCCCCGACAGGATTCGATCGATCGAACGTCGTGAGTGATCTCGACCGAGGGAGAGACTCGATCGCTCGAATAAAACGAAAGGGAAAAAAAACAGCACGCGAGACTCGGAGTCCCTACTTTCGTATCTCGAGGTATCGAGACAGACCCGGACACACCTGACCGTAATTTATGCGACAAATCTGAAGAAAAATGCGAGGCATGCAAGAGAGCTCCGTGCGAGGCTCCCTCTTTGTTTCGTCGGATGGATTTCGCGTAAATTTCGAAGGGGTCGGCGCGAGGTCGCGAGTCCAACTGGTCCCGGCATCGGTCGAAGCCCAACTTTTCTACCCGTGTCCCTCTACCCGTGAGACCGTTTCCGGCGGCGAGTAAGGAGCGAACAGAGCGACGATCCTGATCGTGGGCGTCCCCACTCCAGTGGCGCCTCATCGCACACACGTGCACACACGCACGCTGTGTGCGTAAAAATATTTATAACCGATCCGGTATTTTTGAGGTGTGAGGAAGGGAACGAGTTGCGTTCGAGAAGGGGATCGGTCTTGGACCGAATTAGAAGCGATCTGAAAGGACCGCTCCGGACTCTCTCCAGCGGCCACCCCCTTTTTGGCGGCTCCAGAAGAAGTGTAAAGTGGATAAGTGGATCACCGAGTGCGAGCGAAGATGTTCGAGCTCGCTTAAAACTGTGACTTTTCTATTTCGAACTTCTTTTGTCACCAAATTTTTATCCAGATTCCGTTCGATGTTTTTCAAAATGAAAATTTTATCTTCAAAAAATATTACTGTAACAAAAATCTTGTTATATAAATTATATATTTGAATGTCGATTTCTTTCCCCAAAATTGAATCGATCAAATCCAACATTTAACTCAATAATTTTTGAATTTCTGTGAACTATTATTATTATTATTATTTTAATAATTTATTTTATTACTTATTACTTTTAATCATTTATTTTAACTTGGGTCTATTTGTAGAGTGTATTATATATATATATATATATATATATATATATATATATATATATATATACTATAACTCTACAAAAGTTAAAATAAATGATTAAAAAAGTAATAAGTAATAAAATAAATTAATTAAAATAATAAATAATAATAATAGTTCACAGAAATTCTTTAAGAAAAAATTATTGAGCTAAATGTTGGATTTGATCGATTCAATTTTGGCGAAAAAAATCGACATTCAAATGTATAGAGACATAAGAACGAATGCACATTACAGACGAAATTAGAAACGACGGCATTCCAGAGGAGTCAAAACGCGATTCGAAAAATGTGGGGATCGCGTGTATCCTAGGTCTCGTCTGAAGGACGAATAATTGTGTAATTCTTTTCGGAAGAGCCGTGTCTATTAATAAGAAACCGCTCCGGTAACATGATCGAACGTTGATTCACCACTGGTTGCCTTTATTATGCTTCTAATTCGGGATCTTAGGCGATATCAGTGAACCGAACTGGAGAAGGAAAACTTACACGGATTTCTCTAATCTTCCCGTTAATTCGGGAATATAAAGTCGAAAATATAAACAGTTCGGCGCATAGCGCAAAGAGGAGACGTAGAGGAAAACCAGAAGGTTGACAAAATTAGAAGCGATGTTCCAAATGGTGGCTTGAAATTTCTTTGCAGATTTTCCAAGATCGAAGAGAAATTTTTCGCCGCCTAGACTTCGCGATATATAAAATAAATATAATACGTTTTGAATGCCAAATAAAATTAGCTAAAGCAATTTATATGTGATAAATTTATGTGGCAATTTTCTCTGAATTAAAAACTATATATATATATTAAAGAGATGTACAATTTTTAAGTATAAATCTCAAAATATTAAATTCGACACAACTTTTTTCCTTTCTTCTAAAATTACACCTAAAAAAATAAATTAAAAAAGACAAATATATCGCGTATTTTATAAGTATAATAAAATCTATATAGTTATAAGTATAAAAAAATCTAAAGGAAAAAAGTGTGCTATAAATCCGAGTTACGAAAGTATTACGAGAGTAAACGAAATAAGTGAAAAAAAATTCGATTTCAAAGAAATCGCCTATTTGAAGCTGGACATGAGTTTGCGCGAGAGGGCAAACTGCGAAAACGGGAAGACCAGGCGGCGAATAAATAAACGCGTACGTCTGGAAACTGGAGCCGTTATGAGCCAAGCAAAAGAAGAAACAAATTCCACGAGCGAATTCGAGCGCAGGATGGCACAGTTAAGCACGAAACTCCAGCTGTAAATCAGCATCAAGTTGAAGCTTTATTTTGCCAAACTCTCGCAGCCTTCAGTGAATTATTGGTTTTCGCAGAATGAACGATTCTCTTTTGCAATACTTTCTCTGAAGTAGTCAATATTAACAACTATTAACAATTTATTTTTTAATAATTAAAAAATTCAGAGTAAAAATTGCATAATTTAGAAAGGACATTTAAAGAAAGAGAAAATTCACTTAAAATATCCAAAGTAAACTTTATAAATTACAGACTTGAAAAAACAGTTAAATTAAATTGATCAAGGTAAATATATATTTAGAATTGTATATAAAAATAAAATTAAAATTGAATAGATATTCAAAACTGAGAATGAGGAAAAATATAAATAGCATTTACTTTGGACTAACTAATATAACGAAGAATGAATAAGGGAAAATTAAAATGTTTATTGTCTCGTAAGCCTTAAGGTGCTGATCGAGTATCTTAATTGCTATTGCCTTAAATATATATATAAAATTTATCATAAATGTATTGTTATAATTACTTACGTAAACACATTAAAAAAATCTTTTTATGAGATTTTTTAAAAAAATTCGATTTTTCTCAAATTAAATCAAGTATTAATTTGCTTTTGCAATATTATAATATTTTTTAGGAATATTAAAATAAAAATTGAATCAAATATATTTTATGCCCAAAAATTGCAAAAAATTTGAACAAAAGAAATCAATGAAACTCAATGTCTTAATAATAATGTTCTTTGAGCTAAACGATTCGTGTGCAAAGGATATGTCGGAGAAACACTTACGGCCATCTCGTCCTCGATACGAGTGACATTGAGCAGAGGCTTGATCTTCTGCCACAACTTCCACCACGGCCAGGTGCGGAGTTGGAGGTATTTCCTCAAGTTTCTCTGGACGACTTGGAGGGCCAGGCGTTGCTCTTGGAGCTTCTGGTAGTCTTTACGAGACAAGTAACCTCTGATGTAGGCTTGCATCCAAGATACGATCTTGCCGAGACGTTCATCACGAAGTTCCTCCATCTGACCCAGAACTCCGGCACGGAAGAATACCTATTTTTTTCGGAGATGAAAAGAAAACGAAACATTGAGATATCGTTCATCACGACGATCCTTCGAGATGATGTACCTCGATTATCAATCCCATGTCATGATTAATAATTCGATCTATATTTTATAATAGTCGATTTAAAGAGATCTAATAATCTCTCTTTGAAGATTTTTTCATGATTCAAATTAAAATTCAGAAATATGTTTTAGGAAAAAGTTAGATAATCGGATAGATGATTTAAATTTTATTTAATTTATGATATCTTATTGGAAGAGAGATAATCATGGTACATCGTATTAATTAATTTCCACAAACTGGCCTTCTATGCCACTTTTAGCTTAGAAAGAGGGACGTTATTCGACGATAGGAGGTGAACAGAGATTGCCTCACACTTGTTGAGGGATTATACCACGCTGAAAATTGATTTGGCAAAGGTATCCTTTGTTAGCGTAACTGATGATAGAGCTCCTCATTAGCTTGTCGTTACTCGAATGAGGCTGTAAAACGGTTAATTGCCGAAGCCGCGTAATACTAAATTAGTTCTCGGCAACATTTAATAGCCAACATCCACACGAATTGCTCGAACAATATAAAAAGTATTCTAGGATTCCAGAAATCTCGAAGCATCGAATCTTCAAATTTATTTTTATTTAAAATTAAAATTTTTCTAAATATATCTGTCGAATTTTTTTACCATTTTGAAACTGTTGTTTTCAAATTAGTTGCAATGTGTCAAATTGTTTAATTTAAAAACTTTTAACATTTTAATTCTTCCAATTTTGGTATTATAAATGTTGGCAAATAAATCGTCGACGATGTAAGATTATACGAGTGTCCAAAAGACATTTGCAGATGACATTCGATACAGCCTGCAGACGTCTTTGTGACATTTGTAAGTTGCTCGTTTGCAATAGTGCTTAGTACATCGTGACATTATTGTCACAACGTGGACCACAACAGGTGTCTGGTACCTTGGTGTGACCCAGGCGATACTGATCACTCTCCAGATTGATCGTGTCCAAGATGATCTGGGTGGCCTTTTGCGCGTCGCAAGGCTCTGGGACGGCATTGGCGCACAGAATTTTGTATCTGCGTTCGTAGCCGACCATCGTTGTCAAGTATATGTGGTTTGGTGTATTCATATACATATTGATGGTGTCATGTGTGTGTTCACAAAAACAGACAGAAAACAAAGAACCACGCCAGGTTAGAGACTTATATTGTATTATAGTTCTCGTTGCTGTAGAATCGAGAATATATTTTAGGGGGAAAAGAGGGCAAGAAGCAAAGGGTAACGAGTAGTATCCATCCAGGATACTTCAATTAGGGAGATCCTCTTGGTATTGATCTCTTCGACGAATTAAAGCGCGAGTCTTTACCAGGAGAATTTTCAAGAATTTATAAAATTCCAACATAAATTAAAAGCTCGACAAAAAAGAACTATTTCCAAATAATTTAAAAATGGAAAGATATTGTAATAATGTTTCTCTTGGAATTCTCACGCTTTAATATCGTCATTTTTACGTCATTCTACCACCCAGTCGCTATAGGAGCATTGACGTGTCATGAATTAAGAATCCACCACCAACGACAATAGACGATAATTATTATTTGCGATCGACAATGTTCGCGTAATCGAGATTGCATTTCACCAGATTATATTCTTTATTTACATTTCATTCAATGATTATATAATATTTCTATTTTTTGTCACCTTTTATTGTAATTCATTAGTAGACATTAAATTAAAAAATATTATTTTAATATATGACTTCACTTTCTAACATAATTTGAATTTTTATATTTACTGCTCTTAACAGCCTTTTATCAAATTTATTATAATTTAATAAGAGCCTTGACTTACTACGATTTAATTTATATTTAGATTATATAATATTATATTTACTATTGAGATTTTCTACCAAATTGAAAGGCAGCAGTCTCGATCATCGACCGTCGTCGATCGCGTTTCGAGACAGATGTCATCGTTACGCGTCAAATACCATCGCGATCGTTGGAGGCAGGGAAAAGAGAGGACAACGTGCCTTGGTATGTCCAAGACGGTACATATCAGGGTCGAGACCGGTTGATTCCAGAACGGCCCCGGCCGCTTCCTTGGGTTCCTTGGCCTTGTCGACCGCCGCCGGAGCCAAGATCTTGTACCTACAGGGTGTCGGGGTGTACAGGGCAGAGGGTAGGGGGAGGCAAACGTGCATACTAATTAATACAAGGGTTCTAGATACGAATATTCACAGATTTTATATACATCTTCTTGTCGTTCCAATCGGCTCTCGCTACTTTACTGTTTTATTTTTTTTTTAAAGGATTGAGATTTATTTTAGCATCCAGTATTATTTTCTCGAGGATTGATACTCTAATCTAATTGGGTACCAAACTATTTTTACTAAACGAATCACGGGGAAAACTGAACGATCAATCGGGTGGGATTCGAATACACGGTCAAATACGATAATGATGTTGCACTCAAATTCGATGATATTGCACTCAATGAGAGGGGCGACGTGGTAAATTTATACAGATTCCAGCGTGGATCATCTTTAAATCTCGCTAATTTAAAATTAATCTTTGGTTTTAATTATACATTTTTATTATACAGTTTTACCGATGCTAAAAATATTTTTGCGACGACTGTAAAACGAGAAATTTCGGACCATCCACGTGGAAAGATTTATTTTTGATTTTTTGAATGTGGGGTGACTAGTTCAATATTGTTTAGAGATAATGAAACAACAAAATTGTCAAAAATAAAGGGGTTATCATCAACCTAAATTATCATTAACTAGCCTTGGTGTGACCGATCCTATAGCTGTCCGGATCGAGAGCGCACTGTTCGAAACACTTAGCCGCGGCGATCTTGGGATCGCTTTCGGCCGCCATTGCGGCCGGTGCTAGGATCATGTAACTACATAATATAACATAAAAATTCAATTACTATGCATGTCCAATATTTCAGATTTCCCAGATGCTTTTGGGAAAGTTAATCGAAAAATTTATAACACACAAAGAATATAAAATTTTTAAAACATTTCTAAATGTCAGAAAATAAATATTTTTATCGGCTCTCAATATAAAGTGGCCGATTTAGAAAACATCATATTTATATTTCCAAATGTATTTTATAAATAATTATTCTAGCTCTCCATTAAAATATTTCGAAACTTACCATTTCTGTACGATTTAATCATTATTATTAAATAACCTCGCTAAACCATCTAATAAAAGTATTAAATAAGAAATCGTTTAATAATTATAAAAAAATCTGCTATATTATGCTTGAGAAGAGATTATATAGTAAATCTAATAATAAAGTTTCTCTAATATAGATTCCAGAGATATGATTAAGCAATAGCAGATTTTTCTAAAATCAGAAATCATTGCGAATGCTCGAGAAAACTGGAGGGTGACTATTTTCTAAATCTGTTAAAATAAAATTCAAAACCATATTTTTTAATTATAAAAAAATTAAAGAAATGTTACAAATATTAGCAATTAAAAATTAAATTAATATTTTTAACGTTCATATACAATATATAAAAACAAGAAAATATATTCGTTTCCTTGAATCATCGATTTTTTTCGATCTTCCGCAAAGATAATTGAAATGTTTTTAAACTGAAAAAAGAGATTCTTACCGTAGCTTGAAATCAGGATACACCATCCTGTTGGGGAAACCTTTGCGACAGATACGAATGCCTTCAAGCACACCGTTACAAGTCAGCTGATGCATGACCAAGTGAGAGTCGATGACGCCAGGCTGCTTCAACTCGTTGGGGATGATGCAACGGACAAAGTGGGGTTGCGTGGCACGCAGGGTAGTCATCAGGTTGTTCAGCTGCTCCTTGTAGGAGGACGATACGGTAGAGAAACCACCACCCTTCTTACCACGTCCACCCTTGCCACCGCCACCGGCGTCACCACCACCAGATTGACCAGGATGATCAGCGAAGATTTCCACCAGCAGTTTGTTCGTAGACTTCTTATATTGATCGACCACCGTGTCGTTCAGCGGGTCCTTGTTCTTCTCCAGCCAGCCGGTGATATTATATGGTACCTGAGATCCGAGGAAACTTTACTGATATCGAAATCGAGACGATTGTTGATGAGTGAAAAATGATGAACATTTTTTAATAGGATTTTATAGAATTCTTTTTTATAAAATTAACTCGTTTAAAAAAAACATACCAATGTGAATCTCTTTTTTGTATATATGTTAAATATTTTTTCTAAAGTAAAAAATAAGAGAAAACGTTACATACGTTGCCGGCGTAATGGCCAATCGCAAAGTGGGCTGCCTGCTGGCCTGGTTTAGGCGGTTTGGGCTTCAGGAAGTTGGGACTCTTGCCGAGATGGTTGTTGTTCAACTTCTCCTCAAAGGTCTTGTCTGTGGCCTTAGGGAACATAGACTCTTCCTCAAGGATGGAGAGGATACCCATAGGCTATATACGCGAGGAAGGGAACGAAGAAATGTGTTAGAATTCGCTATACCTCGAAACATTCGCATTTTCCAAGAGTAGCGTTACGCAAAGGAATATAAATAATAATTAATTTTTTTCTCGTCGAATTAATTATGTAAATATTTTATCTATTATAAATTGTGATAAATTCTACATCAGAGTTGTACATAAAAAAAGATGATAGATCTCGAAATGTCTGCAGAATATTTGTAAAATATATTTCGCGTAGCAAATCTCGTTAGTGTCTCAACTTTTACTGAAAACAAATTGCTAAATACTTCTTTGATATACTTTGTTATCTACTTGATACTGTGTCATTAATGTACTTTTATTTCGGTTAATCAATCGCTTTCTTGAATGTAAGATATATGGATTTGTATATGGATTAATTGCCGATTAATGATATAATTAATCTTGTAAACTACGTACAAGACAAAAAACTTCGACGCTACTCTTAGTACTGCGTTATCTATAATTCTACAGTAAGGATATATTTTGGAGCAATGCTTCGATAATGATTTTTGCACTTCACTAACATTTCTGTTAATGTTTCTGCATTGTAAAAGTGCAATCATCTTTTTCCGACACATCAAACTCTCCATTATATACAAATACATATGATGTGCTGAATCTATCGCGCTTTTGTACAGTCGCAAGAATACTGATATTTAAATTATATCAAGTTTTTAAGAGAAACATTATATATACATATATATATATATATATATATATATATATATATATATATATTTTTAGTTGTAACCTTGTAAGCAAACTTTATAATTCAAGAAACATTTATTTAAACGAAGGACAAAATACAGATGCTTAATTTATTTAATTTATAGATAACTGTTTAAATATTTAATTTATTTCACATTAAACTAAATGTATTAAATTTTATGTCAATCTAAATTACCATTCAACGTTGTGCAAATTTTTACAGAAACAGCCTAGAAGATAAAAAAATAATTATTTTTCTGGAGTTTGCAAAGAATTTCTAATCATATTTTTACGCGTTAGATCCGTGACATCCTGATGTAAAGAAGATAATACGTACGTAATTAAGTACATACAGGCAAACAACATTGACAGAAAACACACAACGTGGACAAACAATCACGCCCAAGCTGGATTGAAGCGGTAGTTTGCTAGATAAGTTACTGGATCAACAGCCTGATGATCCAGGCTCGAGTCCGTGTCCCACTCGGACCGGTTTACCTTCTCGATCAGATCGATAGTCTGTTGGAGATCCATGCCGAAATCGATGAAGGTCCAAGCAATACCCTCGCGCTCGTACTCTTCTTGCTCGAGCACGAACATATGATGATTGAAGTATTGCTGTAGCTTCTCGTTGGTGAAGTTGATGCACAGCTGCTCGAAGCCGTTGTACTGCATCGAAGTTTGTTCATGCACCACGCCGCACACAGGCACACAGCGAAGAGAAAGATAGCAAGAGAAAGAGAAATAAGAAGAGGAAAAACACAGAAAAAAAAAAAAATGTGCGCAGGACACCGTCCGTGTCCGATCGGGCGTGTCCCTTGATTGATCCTGAAACTTTCGCACGGCGTAGTCGAAAGGTGGTGACGAGTAAACGAGATTTTTCAATTAATCAATTGGAAAAGAAATTTAAAAATTCTTTCATAATATACGTTGACGTTAAACAGCTGATCGTTCGTCCCGAGTTCCCGGAAAATTGTGCTCCACCTGTCGACCGATGCCACGAGAAATGAATAACAGTGCTCGAGTAAAAGTGTGACGGAACAGGAAGTGGAGTTAGTTGATCGAGCAGACAGGCAAGACGAGGAAGCGAAGATGCGTGTGTGATTTTGAGAAACGACGAGTCTCCTCTCGTGCGATCTGTCGACCTGTCCTGGCGGTACCTTCTCGATCAGATCGATAGTCTGTTGGAGATCCATGCCGAAGTCAATGAATGTCCACTCAATGCCCTCGCGCTTGTACTCCTCTTGCTCGAGGATGAACATATGGTGGTTGAAGAATTGTTGCAATTTCTCGTTGGTGAAGTTGATGCACAGCTGCTCGAAGCTGTTGAACTGCTCGAGACCGAGTGGTGCAGCAACGGGGAGTCCATGCGAACGGGAAGGTTAAGCGAAGAACAGAGAAAAAAACAGGGAAGAACAGCCGTCATTAATGCTGTTTGATGACTTGGGAGGAAAAACGCTCGATCGATGATTTTGACTCGTAACTTTCATCGCTCGATTACGGGGGCAGAAAAGGACGGTTATAAGAAGAGGGTAATCGACGCATTGTCAAAAAGGCGTCGATAAAGTGCATTCTATGTACCATTGCAGTTTATCTTCGATTGTGCGACGAAATCGAAAAAATTTCAGATTCTCGTAAGTTAATATATTTTTCAAAAAATTGATTTTATGATATTTTAAAAATTAAATAGCGATGCGTTTAGCTGTTTCAAATATTTTTCGAATTATCATGTAATATCACAATTAATACTACACTAATTATCTATATTAAATGTTTTAAATATAGATAATTAATTGTGTAAAATTTTTGATTAACATTATTATATAATAATAAAAGAATAAAAATAGATGAACGTTTTTCAAGTTCGTCGCATGAAAGGAAAAGACACTCGCTTGTGCCGTTACGTGATAAAGTTATGTGTGATATAATAATAAACACCGACAGTTCATTTGTCGTGTTAGCTAATTTTATCCAATTAATTAAATTGATTAATTGGACAAATTTTCAGGGTGAGTTTCGGGATCGACACTTTATGAGTTTGTAACGAGGATAAGGGACGCAGTTATACTGGGTCATTAATATTATCACTATTTCAATTATACAAACTAATTCTCACTTTTCATTTTTCTGGTAAAGCTAATTTCTCCCTAATTTCAGTCTTGCTACAATTTCATATTTAATTGATTATTCTAAAACTCGTTGATTAAAAATGCTAGATCGAAAAAAAATGTCGGTTCGTTCCAGTCTTTTCAGGATTGCGAACCAGACCCAGTGGATTGTCGAAGAAAACATAATGAATGCCTGCCTAATCGTTGAATCTTTATAATCGTTGATCCTGAAGGAGCATTCTTCACGGACACGAATCAGTGCCGTTACAGGAATGAGACATTACGAGGAAAGAAACGAAGGGAGAAAAGTGGCTTAGGTACCTGTACTAAGTACCTTGAAAAGTTGCGATCGGCGTTTCTTCGTCATCGTCGAAGAGCCGACGCAGAAAGATTATGATAGACGCAAAAGCGCGAAAAATCAGCTAAAAATTGAACGGCGAAGCAACATCAACTGACTCTCAGCGATTGACAGGTCCTGTTCCTTGCGAGAAATCGGCTCCTCGTTCAAGTCCTGGTTTGATATCTCTCGCACCGGTTCTTAGGAAATTGCCGCTTTAAACCTTGATTCGCGGAATTGAACTAATAATACCTTCTCGATCAGCTCGATACAAGCTAGCAAGTCCATGCCGAAGTCAATGAACACCCAATCGATGCCCTCCTTCTTATACTCCTCTTGCTCGAGTACAAACATGTGATGGTTGAAGAACTGCTGCAACTTCTCGTTGGTAAAGTTGATGCAGAGCTGCTCAAAGCCGTTGTACTGTCGTTTTTGCAATTGCACGTGCGACAGGAATACGTGGATAGACGGCAACGAACAGAAAAAAGGTAAAGGGTGGAGGAAAGGAAAGAGATATCAAAATTATTATCAATCAGACGAATGCTCTTACGAAATTATATCAATGTTTGTGTCATATGTATTATATATAGAGTCTGACTTTTTCAATCTACCTCAAAATTCGGAGAAATCTAATCTAGAGAAAAATAGATTTTTTTATGTTTAAAAAATTAAAAATATGCATTTTATTCAATTATTTAACTTTAATCTCTGCAAAGTTAAGTAAATCAAATAAGGTTCACTTCAATATAATTTATATAATTTAATTTTAATATTTCATAATTTATATATTTTTATTTAATTTCTAAGGCTTTCAATTCTTAGAAAATGTTTATAAATTTTCATAAAATTATATTGAATAAAAAAAAATGTGCGAAGCAAAATATATGTTTTTGAAATTGACAATCAATAATTCCTCGGTAAAAATTTAATTGCACGATCTCTCGGTATTAAATGTTTTAAATCAATTTTATTTTTGAACGTATGAATAGAACTAGCCTAAGCAAAATACGCGGTCATCGAATCAACAAACGCGGCCGAAATCGCGAGATCGACGACACAGATGACAAGAAAAGAAAGGAAGAGAAGAGCCAAGGGATGAAAAGTGGCTGGCGAGGAAAATCAAAATAAATGGAAATAGTTGACGATCATACAAAAAAAAAAGAACAGTGGACGATCACTTTGTTGAATTTTAAGAGAATAAGCGTTAGTGTGGCGGTTTCCTCTGATCTGTGATAAATAACCAGGGATTTCCGCTTGCCTAATAATTCAACCCTCTAGTTTCGTTCATTATTCAGCTTGGAATTATTTCTTTTATTTCCGACCGAACACCCGTCTGTCGGGTTTTTGCTGGCCATTGATCGATCCGTCGTTTGTCATCTTATTGTACCTTCTCGATCAGATCGATACATGCGAGCAGGTCCATGCCAAAATCAATGAAGGCCCACTCAATGCCCTCCTTCGTGTACTCCTCTTGTTCGAGGACGAACATGTGATGATTGAAGAACTGCTGCAGCTTCTCGTTGGTGAAGTTGATGCAGAGCTGCTCGAAGCCGTTGAACTGTTCGAGAGCAAGAAACATGCATGCATATGTGTATATGTCATTTTATATGTTTCTTCCCTTTTTTGTTCCTCCGCATCTTGACACGTCTTTTTTTGTGCTTTTTGTGATTTCACCGTCCTGTTCCTTTCTTACACACGTGAGGATCAATTTACAAAAGGGTTTCTTACACTACTTCACATTTACAGAATTGTGAAGTTACCTCAAGTTTTGTCTCGAAACGATTGATATATATGAAATTATACACATTTTTTTTTATATTTTTACACTAAGTAGTTACACTAATGCACTATAATTAGTTACACTAATTTTTTTAAATATTTTTATAAGATATAAGAAATCAGATTCATAAAATATTCATATTATCTATCGTTTTGAAAATTTGAGGCTGATCAAGGTCTCAGTACTTGATGGGATTTTATCTAGAAGGATGAGGGTGTCCTCATCCTCATAGTACGAATCGGTGGTATAGCACCGTTTATCGATGGGATTAATTCACCTCATGACCTAGTACAAGGTCTTTAGGTTCAAATGTGTATGCTGCTCGAGTGCCTTAATTTCCATGTACAGAATATCGATCGATACATTTATGCATATTTATCCAGAAAATGCAACCCAAAAAATGATTCAAATTTAAAATTTATTCAATACTAAATAATATTTCATACTATTAAATAAACTATTAAATTCAAAAATTTAATTAAAACTTTATGATGTTTAATTAGTTTCACTAGAAGAGAATTGTTAGAATATATTTTTATGCAAATTAAAAGTATTATCGATTATTCTGAACATAGGTTTGTGATTTAAATGACGTAAACTGTCTGATCACAAACGAAATATATCTTTGTAAGTATCAAATTTGTGGGGGCGAAGGAGGTCCAACAATATTAGTCTACTTCCAACAACTACTATTACCAATTGTGTAAATTACTTCAAGAGGGAAAACCAACGTAAGAGGGTTTTTGAATAATCTTGACCGTCCTGTTCACCAATGGACAGTTAAACGTCGTAAATAATTGATTCAAGAAAAGAATGTGGTAGACGGATGAATCATCTTTAAACCACCATGTCTACTTAACGTGAAGTCCACTGTTTCGATCATGATAATAATGACAATGGGAATATTCCTTCGATCGCTGAGTGAAAAAATTAATCTCTTTACCTCTGATGCTGCCTTTCTTCGAATCTTTGACCAGAGAGAATGAGTTCCTCAGAAAAGCTAAGAGTATGTTTTTCGATCAAGCGATTCCTATCGAATCATGGCATTTCAATGAAAATTTAGAGCTCGTAATCGGAGAAATTCTGCTATTCTATCGCGGCGTGCATTTCAAGAAAAATTTGGGGCGACTAGAAGGGATTTTTCGGAGTCATGCGTTTCTTTCTATCGGAAATGACTAATCTAATTGGAATATCTCGGAAAAATAATAGAAATAAATAATCAGTAAAGATGCAGAATGATACAGAACTATTCAGAAAACTAACGAAACATTTAAATTTATGCTGGGTTTACAGTACCTGAAAAGGGGCAATGAACGTCTAAGAAATCACAAAAGTATTCGATAAAAATTCTCGAATTCATTCCGGATAATATAAATTCATTCGGGAGATTAATGTAACGCCAATAAAAGTCGGTGACATTCAAGGAATTATATACAAGTATCCATAAAAATATTCAAATTGTCAATATATTATTCTAGATAATGCAGACCCATTCGAGAATACATAACGAGATACCTAAAAATGCATGTCACAGCATCCCAAAAGAATGACAACATTCGGGGAATCCAGGTGTCTGTGAAGATCTAAAAATCTAAATCATCCTCGGAGAAATTCATACTTCGAAATTAACGGTTAATGACAACGTGCGACTAACTAAGGATCTACAAAGATCTATAGATCTCCTAGAGAGATCACAAAAGGCATGGGGGACGAGGCCAGATCGATCGTTCACCTTCTCGATCAGCTCGATACAAGCTAGCAAGTCCATGCCGAAGTCAATGAACTGCCAGACAATTCCCTCCTTCTTATACTCCTCTTGCTCGAGCACGAACATGTGATGATTGAAAAACTGCTGCAACTTCTCGTTGGTGAAATTGATGCAGAGCTGCTCGAAGCCGTTGTACTGCGAGATACCGAGGTATAATTACGGATTCTAAAGGAGAATCTTTTCGACGACCGATTCGAAACATCATACGAATCCCGATTCTCGATTTCGAGAGTCTCTTTCGTTCCTATTTTATTTCGTCGTGGGAGAAAGTAAGGTTCGTGTAAAGATCGAAGGCGTGAATTCTTCGCATCTTCGGCGTCAGTTTTTTCCGTGTGATCGATTTCATTATCACGATCATGTCGACGATTTAAAAAAGAAAATAAGGCTGTTGTTTTTCTTTTCCATCGAAATATTTGACATTAAATATTTGGTAATTCAAATGCAATTCGATCTCAATCTCTGTCTAAAACTAAAATCTTAATGCAGAATAATTGTACGATTTGATCGCTCCTTTAATTAGCCAATTATATTGATAGAAAATATTATGTAAAATACACAACAGCGATATTTTACTACAAAAATATTATTTTAATGTCTATACACGAGACATATAATTGATAATAAAACTTGTATGCAAAAATTGTCGACAATCACGTATTGATATATATAAGAGTATGTTTGTGTTTGTGTTTGTACGTTTGTGAATCGCGGAAACTTACGTCGAAGATCTCGAAACCAGCGATATCCAGTACACCAATGAAGTGCTGTCTCTTCTGCTTGGTATCCAGGGTCTCGTTACACTTCTTGACCAGCCACTTGAACAACCTGTCGAACATCGCCTTCGACATGGCGCCCACGGAGTAGGCTACCTGGTCCTTGTTACGACCTTGGGTGACGAACTCGTTACCGACCTTGATCCTTGGCTTCAGCAAGTTCTTGTAAAGATCGGCACAGTCGCAACCAAGCAACTTAGCCACGCGCTCACCTTCCTGTAATATAAAACATGATACTTCTTTTTCCGCAATGTTCTTTCTGGTCTCAAATATATCCTTTTAATCTGAGAAGAAATGTCATGTATTCAATTTTCAAGAGAAATAGATTTTAATTCTTAATTAAGAGAGAAACATATTTTAAGTATTTTATGAAATATCTGAAAAATATCGATGGTAATAATACTTGAAAGATATTTCAAAGTTATAAAAAATGTTCAAAAACAAAAATAAATAGTGTGTTAAAACTGTTGGAAATTTAAAATTAATAAATTGTTTAATGTTGAAATAATCTACATATTTATATATCACTATTGAAGTGACGAAAATGGTGAGAAATAATAAAAAATAATTATGTTGTAAGTATAATAGTTATAGTTTGAAATAGCTATTCAAAGTTCTCACCTCAGTGCCATCGGCTTCAGCCTGTTCCTCACGACCCCTTTGCTTGAACTTCATGCCACCCATATGCATGACAGAAGCGGTGATCTTGTAGATGTCATCCTTCTCTTCCTGGGTGAAGCCCAACACGTCGAAGGCTTGCTGTTATAGAGAGAAACTTGGTTAAAATCTTCACTTAATCGACATTCTCACGTCAGAGATCGTTTGACATCATTTAAGGAATTGATTCGCGGAAAATGTTCTGAATTTTTCGAAAGTGCTTTACATTTTTTTCTGAATCTGTTATACCATTTGAAATATTGCTTCAAAAATTTAAAAATAAAAAATGAATACATTTAACGATTTAATTTTATTCTATTCTCTATCAAACAAAAAAACGGATGATAATCCTAGACTTCTCTGACGTGATTCTTATCGATTTCGATAAATTTACATAGACGAAAGCGACAATTAGTAGAAACACACAGGGACGACACAAATAGTTATACTTCCAAGAACGGCAAACGATCGATGTAATTTATTACATTGTACATCATTCGGCTTCGCGCGTTGGAAGTTGCGGAAAAAAAAAGAAAAGAGAGAAAGAGAGAAAGAATAAAAGCTAGAGCGCAGCATCAAGCACGATTTCACTACAATGTCAATTAAGATCATTTATATGATAATTGAAGAACCTTGAAGAGCGTTCCTTTTCCATATTGAAAAGATTCGGAAGGAAGTTCTTTTAAGCTCTTAAACGTCAATCAATTATATTATCCTGGATTAATTGAGTTCTAATCAATTAAACCAGAATGAAATTGAATCGCGACGTTGATAAAAAGAAATGACCTTAAAAGTTCAACTTTAATCAATCGTGGATCGATCGATTCGTCGTTCATTTCTAATTCCGAAAAAAAAACGAAGAATCAATCGGACCTAAGATTGAAATCAGCTGATTGTTGATTAAATCTCGCAGCAATATATTGGCAAGCCGGAAAGCAAAAGCAAAGCTCTTGTTACGTGGCAATAGCCCCTTTTCTCTGAGCTGCTGGTGTCAACATAAATTAACACCGTCTACTTAGGGCTCTCATGACTACTCTGCTAGAAGAAGAAGAGAAAGAAGAAAAAGAAGAGTTTGAAGAAGAGACGACGAGAGATTGCGAGCTGGATCTCTAGATCGCGTTCGTCGCAAAGTGCCTCCTTTCTGATAAAGAGGAATAAGATCGCCCTTCAGGGTCAGCCTGGACGATTCCTCGTCGTGTCGATTTCGGCACCTCTGTTCCTTCAAGAGGCAACTCGAACAGATCGTTCCTCTTTACTCGACGTCGCCCTCGATCGATGAAGAATCGCTTCCTCGAGGCTGCGTCTCCAAATCTACCAAAGTTTCAACCTGGGGAAGAGGATCTTTCAACAGGGAGAAATATTTACCAGGGGGATCAACAGGGCCAATAACTACTGGGATGTAACGTTCGAAGTATCATTGAATCTCTCAATCGGGATAGAAAAGAACTTCTCTCGAGATAATTCAAGTTTCTCCAGGTGAATGAACTGGAGTCGGTATCAAAGGGGGAACAATAGTACTACCGGAAGTGGGTGAAAATATCGTACTAATATATGTACATGGTAGTCGTGTGATCAATGATAGTTATAGAGATCGATAATAAAGCAACAATATCTCTATCAGAATTATGTGTGACTTATATATGTATACATGTAATACGTATTTAATAAGTATGTAATACGTGTATGTAACACGTGTATATATATATATACATATATGTAAGTGTGCATGTCTGTTCACGCATAATATGTAATGTAATATTTTATTAAATTTTATATATTTTAATTTTTTATTTTCAATTCTTAATTAATATTAAAATAAAATTTGTGATAATATAATATTTCCATCATTAACATTATATTTTCAAATTACATTCATTTCTATAGGATCTTTAGATTTCTCCATAAAACTTAATAGATTAAAATAAAATTTATATTGACGTATGGAAAAATAAAAGTAAAAAAAAATTTGAAACACTAAAGGCAGTAATAAATTAATAATTAAGATTATATAATAATAAGATTAATAATTAAATTAATTTTTGAGATTAATCCGACTAAAATATTAAGAAAATAACTTTACACAATTATATAAAAATATACTATTGCTGCTTATTATCATTCGTGTTATATGTATCTTCTGATATCATAAACCAATCTGAGATAGAAAAATAACAGCGACGTCAATTATCAAAAGATAAATTATTTTTACCTCGCCATTAAACTATTATCGTTTTATAATTAATTTTTATAATAAAATTATCTAAATTTCCATCTACTAATTAAATAGTTGACAAACTCTTTTGATGTTACCGACATCGCTGTACTAGAAGAGTTCATATATTCAAATGATTTAAAGATACGAGGTCGAAATTTCATGGGAGAAAAGGGAACAACGTTTCTCCACAACCAGGGTGATAGCTAAAGGGACTTACATCCGTCAGCATACATTCCTCGCCATCATCGACGTTGGGGATCGTGATCTTTCCTTGAGATACGTTGTTATAGTCGTATATGTTGTTGGACAAGAGACAGTTTTCTGCGAAGCATTTCGAAGAACAAAATTGCAATTTCAGAAATTATTTTGATCTCGACGTGGATTCGTTTCTGATTCGAGGATTCTGATTATTGGTCCTTGATCTAATAGCGGCCATCGACTTGCGACGTCGAGCTTCAATCGTTGATCAATATTATGCTGTCAATTTTTGGGACTCAAAGCTTCTGTGTAATTATATTGTCTTCAGGAAGATTTTTAGAATTTTATGTTAGATTTTTAAAAAAATATCTAATAATATCCAATATATATTTTTAGAATAATCTTATCTCACAAAAATATCTTTCTTCCCCACAAAAAGTTTACGTAGCAATTCTGAGAAATTAATTATTGCAATATTTTGCAAGAAAAAAACATTTCCTTTCTTGATGATGATTTATTTGCAAAGTATTTCAAAAATGCATCTCCTTTCTTCTCAATATTATTTTTATACATATAAAAGGCAATAAGAGCTAATTAAGTTCTTTCATTAATATTTATTTGTGGAAAAAGATTTATAACACAAAATAAATTCGAATGTTTCGATTGCCTTTTTCAACCTTCTTCAGCGCATCATTTAAAATTAAAGATTAATAAAAGATTAATTTCTGTCTAATATTTTGTTATAAATCTTTTTCCACAAATAAATATTAATGAAAGAACTTAATTATCTCTTATTGCGTTTTATATGTATATTAATTTTTAAAGAGCTGTTACAAATTATATTAATATTATTTTTATTTAAACGTTACTTCTTTTATTTCTGAGAGAGAATTCTGTCAAATTCTATTTGACGCTTTTGAAGAAAAATGATTAAGAAGACAATTGAGTCTCAAAAGGGAGGAGAGAAACACAGAGATTATCATCGGCATTTGTGCGTTTCTAACAGCCTGGCACATACATGTACGGGATGGACGATAAATTTGAGGTGGGCGTATCGGGGAGCGGGGCGATCGGTTACAATCATATTTCTACGAAAGAGAATACTCCTTTAGTGTGAAAAAGCCTCGCGCCCCCAATCTCCCCGCACCCCGATTGCGGCGGCAAGCAGCTTTCGCAGGCGGGGGGCGAGGAGGTGACGAATCCTCGAGCAAATCTCAGCACCACTTTGCTTATCGTTTCAAAGAAAAAAAGGAAAAATAGAAGAATAATTTCTTTTACAGAAAGTGAGCCAACAAAAAAGAGCATCTACTGTCATTTAATAAAGTTTAAACAAAAATACAACTGCGTTTGTAACTTTATATTAATTAAATAGAGTAATTAAGAGACATTAATTATAGAAGAATAGTATATTGTGCATTACACATACTATTTTGTATTACAAGTGCAGGCAAAGTGGCTTTGTGTACGTTTTCTGTGCGCGAGGTGGCCGATCGCACGCCGCCATCTTGCGACGGCACGGTGCGGGAATAGTCATTGTCCACGGCTGAAGCCGTGGGCAACGTATTGCCCATGACTTTAGCCGTGGGCAATAATTTTAAACGCGGCTCAGCCGTAGGCAATGGCTTTGAATGCGGCTTATTCACTCACCGCGTCGCCGCTAGATGGCGGCGTGGGAAATCGGCCGCTTTCCGTACAGAAAACACGCACACAAAGTGCCACTTTGCCTGCACGTGTAATTTAATTGCATTATTAATGAAAAATAATCACTAAAATAAAATTCCATTTTAATCATCCGACAGATCTCAATAGAATTATCCTTCTAAGACTTTTATATTTTTTTTTCGTGGCAAAACATGGTCCACAATGTAAATTAAAATATTGTTAAATAATTTGACGAAAGATGCCAAGGGGATCTGAATTTTACCGAGGTCCAGAGACACCCTGGGGGCTGGACTTACATCCGTTTCATCCATCTGTAGACCGTCGTTGACTCCCGGAATTCTGGTCTTACCCTGGTTAATGAACGTGTAGTTGCTGATCCGGCTGCTCAGCATGGTCAGTTCTGTATTAGTCACATTTTCTGTTTTCAACGCTCGATCTTCTAATCGGCAAGCGAGCGATCGCGAGCGATCACCGTCGACACTTTCGGTCCTTTTGTCATCGCAAAAGAATTTATCCCCTCTTATTTTGAGAAAATATTTTTCAATTTGATTAGCAAAAATTTGTATTTAATTTACGACTTATTAAATGAACATATATATAATCAGAGAATTAATTAATTTAAATACTTTTGACAAAAATGAACAAAGTCGTCGGTGCTCGCGACGATTTGCAAAAAAACATAGAAGGTTATTTTGGCAGAGAGTACTCGCTGAAAAACTGATAGAGCGATAAAGAAGAAGAAGAGAGAGAAAAGAGAAGAGAAGTTAACACAGATGTCCGTATGTGATGCTGTAAGAATATGAATCTAGTATTAATCGTGTGACATATTGAAGAGCTGCAATGAAAATGTAGAAAAGCAAAGAGATAAAGAAAAGAAGAAAGTGAGAAAAAGAAGAAACTATCTAAAAGAGAGATATATATATATATACAGATAACACATAAAGAGAAGAGAGAAACACAGAGAGAATAACACATAGAGGAAATAACACGTAAAGAGAGAGAGAGAGAGAGAGATAATAATACAATAACATTTCACAAAAAACAAAATATGCAAATAATAGCTGCAAAGGTTCAAAGTGTATGAAAAAGAATCGTCGCTCGATGTAGTACTCAATGAGCGACAATACTTTTCCGGAAGCCATCACTTCTCAAATACGAAAAAGCGACAATTATATGTACGAAGGACTTAGTGCTTAGAGAGTCGGATAGATCTCGAGTAGAAAGTGAACCGATTAACAGAACCAGTCACTTTAAGGAATAACAATCAAATTACTTATAGATGACAAGAAACAAGATTTTTGACAGAAAAACGTAAAAAGCTTCTGTGAAAAACTTGAAAAATATATTAAAAGGAATACGTACTTTTTACGTTATATTAATAATATAAAATTGTTTAGAAAAGTAGTAGTCTAAATAAAAAAAAATAGAGTTTCCTTTATCTCGCGCCGGCTGATTCTACCCGGTCGTTGCACTTACATCGGTAACCAAAAGCTCTTCGCCGTCATCGAGACCGGGTATCGTCGTCTTGCCTTGCGACACAAAGTAGTAGTCGTGGATGTTGTTGGACAGCAGCAACATCTCTACAGGATGACCGGGTGGAAAAAAAACATGCGGGTGGTTAGAACAATCGATGGTGGACCATGCTTCCTGCTGGCTTTCCATCGTGCTACACCGAATGGGGAGTCCTATCTACAGGGAATCTGTGAACCCTTGTGAGTTCGTGGGTTCTCTCAACTGCGTCTCAAAAAGGCAGAGATACCGGGGAGGACAAACAATTATAAGGTGGAGCTACCTGTACTCATCAGGAGTTAGCTCGACGAGGAAACCACCAAACCGTTTGCATTTCTTCGTCAACAAAATTTTATAGGAACATGTATTTTAAAAATTTATGATAAATTTAAATTTTTAAACTCGACAATCTAAGAATTTGCCTTTCGTCCCGTATTAGAATATTTCTAATGAATCATTTAAATTTTTTATCAATTATGTCTTACATTATTCTAATATAATTTTCTGTAAATTAATTTTTATTCGTGTTTTTTCTCCGAAAGCTTTTGGGAAAAAGCCAAACAATTTAAAATGGTTCTCTCGTCTGCGATGTCAACTCGATACTAAATTACTCTCTCAAAATATGTTTCTACAGTACAGCTCTGCAAAATGTCGCTACTCCTTCTGCGGATTGCGCTAGGAGAATATTATATACAAGATGTTTCAACTCTCGTAGCAGAGATGTCTACCAGCACACTGATACGTTACACGAGAGAAATGTATTTATCGGCATCGAATTTCTTGGAAAAATATCATAATTTAATCTAATTTCTTTTTTAAGGAAAATAAAAGCAAACGATTGTTCCAAATAAAAATTTTAATCAAATAAAATTTCTTTCAATTACTAATAAAATTTATTAGAATTTTTTATCGATTAAAATTTGTCACTTTAAAACTATTAAGACGTCGAATAAAAATCTGGTTCCATTTAAAATCATTAATAAGAATGTTAATTAAAAAAATAATTTAATACGTGTAAAGCATAAATTGCGCCATTTGATTGAGAAGAAATTCGATTTGAATGAATACGTCTCTCCCATGATGACCTCGTTTTAGAGGCATTATTAATTATCTGCTACAATTGTTTCAGGCAACCATATACGCGGTTAATTCAAGAAAACTGTCGACTGACTAGCAGTCGAGTCTAAGGTGTCATATACATGGGGCAAGAGGTTGGCAAAGATAAACGAGAGGCGAGAATCCTGCGATATTCGTCATCGTCAGGTCCTTACGTCGGTCAGCAGACACTCCTCGCCGTCGTCGACGTTCGGGATCGTCGTCTTGCCCTGAGATACGAAGTAGTAATCTTGGACGTTGTTCGATAGGAGGCATATGTCTGCATGGAACGAGGGACACATAATTTGGCAATGAGAAACTTTACTGAGATGCGTGAGAGGAAGAAGGGCGACCTTCCGGGCGAATTCACGCCTCAGATTTTACGTGCGGATCCTTTCTCTCTCGCCAGTTTCCACAGCACCTGTCTCATCCTGATCCTAATACCGTTATCAGGAATCGGGATAGCGGTCGCAAACCCCGTCCCAGAAATCACCGCTACCTCGAGAAAATTAATTTCTCATCTCAAAAATAATTCACTAGATTCAATTATGCTGTCTTTAAGATTATAGCACAAAAGCGCTATGTTCTTGTATAATAAGTTATGATTAATTTCTTAAATACACGAAATAAGATATAATAATTAAACTAAATTTAATTTAATTAATTTAATTAATCTAATTTAATTTAATTCGATTGCTTAATTTTTCGTTTATATTTCGTTATATTTCAGAAATATATAGACTTAATTAATTTTTCGAGGCAGCGATAATTTATCAATACGGAAAATATAATTTATAAAAATCGACGTATGAATCCTATTTAAATTTCGATCAGACTTTAATGTTTTTTCTCGCGAAATATTAATAATCTTACCCTTCAGTCCCTTGACTGATCCGGACATCATCTGGTAGAAGATGTGATAGGAACGCTCCAGAGTCTGTTGAGAGATGACACGAGCCTTCTCCAGCAGATCTACACGAAGAAAAAAAAAGGATCATTTTTAATACGTCGTGTATATCGTGAACAAAATATTTCAGCAAAAGTATCGAATAAAAATTTGTATATAATAGTTTTATGATAAATAATAAAAGTGCTTGTACACTACATCTTTTTTTTAAATGTTTTAAAGAGTTTACTTCAATCGCATCATTAAAAATAGCGATGACAGTTGGAAATTAATATAATAATTTGACTTGCTTTATAAGAGTAAATAAAAATAATATAATTATTTTTTGCTGTCGACAAAAATTAATGGCAAACACTGTTGTATAAAAAAAGACTGGCGTGATACATTGATGTTTATAGCGCAAAATTGAGTAAGGAAATTGTGCCATGTGATGACGCGAGCGAAATTTATGCCAAATGAAACGAAACGGAGCAGTCGAACAAAATTAACCGAATGCAATCGAAGAACAGCTCGAATGGTGCACATGCAAATCGAAGCCAACTGCATCTCTGTATATGTGTTAGGTCGTGACAATAATAAACACGTTCCTCTTCCGTCACCTTGGCGTGACTACTAAACACCGATCGCGATTAACTGCGCAAAAATTAACAACCGTAATTTCTCTCTCGTGATATTCAAAAATAAATCGATACTCACAAGTCTCAATATCAGCACCGGCCAGTTTTCCAGAGGGACCGAAGTGAATACGAATGAATTTACCCTATTCAAGAGAAGACGAAAGTATATAATTATAATTCATCTGTTGAAATAATCAAATTTTATTAAGCTTATAAGAGAAATCAATCATATCAAAATGCGTCTTTCTCAATTTCCAATCTTATGTGTTCTCATAAAATAGATTTATTTCATAAATTTTTTAATTAAAGCAAAATAAGAAATTAATTCACAATTTCAATTTTAAATTTAATAAAAAAAAGTACTAAATTTGTGAGTTTTAAAATAAGACTTTCATACAGCAGCTTCTTCTTCCTCTCATCTCATCTATATTTTCCGAGATGCTATTATAGACTTTCTTGTGTATATACGCGATCTTGGCCAAATATAGTAATGGCTATTTTGTCTTATTGGACGCTACGTACTTAAGAGTTAAAATAGAAGCACTTACGAAACGAGAGGAGTTATCGTTACGGACGGTCTTGGCGTTACCGAAAGCCTCCAGGACGGGATTGGTTTGTACGACCTGGTCCTCCAGGGAGCCCTTCTTCTTATTCGGATCTTCCTTCTCTTTCTTGGTCGAGGCACCGACGGTGGCGAAGTACGCGATTACCTTTTTCGTGTTCTCAGTCTTTCCGGCACCAGACTCACCAGTGATCAACATAGACTGATTCTCGCTGTCTGTTGGGAGTAAGAGACACATAGATTTTACACAACGTATGATAGACAAAATTATTTTTTTTAACTATTCTACCTCTCAAAATTAAGAAAAAGTGTATCAACTTAAAGATAAATTAATTTAGTTTATTGTTAAAAAAAAGTCGATTTAAGTCCCGATTTTTTATCAAAAATAATACGACTTTTCCCAACTGTAAAATTTATTGCACTGAATATTCCCAGGTAGAAATCTGCCTCGATTTGCCAAGATTAAATAAAGGACCTAGGTAAAAAAATCCAGTTTGAAATATCTGTCTAAGTCCAGAATACACCATAGAAATTTACCTTCATTTTACCAAGGAAAAAGATCGGAAAAATCTGCATGGGTTCTAGGATTGAATAATCTAGCTTATATAGAAATAATTATTTAAAAAAATTATAGGTCCTAGTTGGACTCCAAATAATTTTTCTACAAATTCTGGGCGTAATCTTGAGCCCACTCGGATTCTGCGATAGGGCCTGTACGATTTAGATGTCTCAAATTTTACACAGGTTCTAGTTAGATTTTTCACGTAGATTCCAGAAATATTTTTAAAAGAATATATGGAGCCCTGATTATTTCCAGACAAAATTTCTACCTGAGTATGTAATTTAATTAAATATTAAATTTAATAAACATTTAAATTATAAATTGATTAAAAAATAAATATAACATTTCCTATCTCATTCACTAATTTATCATATTTTTTTAATTCATTTATTTTTTAATCAATATGTAATTTAATTAAATATTAAATTTAATAAACATTTAAATTATACATTGATTAAAAAATAAATATAACATTTCCTACCTCATTCACTAATTTATCATATTTATTTAATTCATTTATTTTTAATCAATATGTAATTTAATTAAATATTAAATATTAAAGTTGTCTTGCATAATTATATTTTAACGTACTGGTAAGCATGTTGACGTAAGCTCCATCAGAAATGGCGAAAATATGGGGTGGCACCTCACTACGCCTCTTACCACGATACAGTTTGGCGCACCTTCCCGTGTACACGGGGAATCTTTTATAGGGATTGATAGCCACGCAGAACAGGCCGGAATAGGTCTGCAAAGGTAGAGAGATCGACATCCGTTTAAAGATCTATCGGTAGAACGCGACAGCTCGGGACCTCGAACAACGTTTTATGGCTCAACCGATCCTTGCGGTTTGCCAGGACGAAGATCACATCCCGATAATGTACACAAAACATCATTGACACATTTCTGCTGTCCGAAATTTCAAAATCGAAAAAAGATTGTTTCAATTATCACAACTTATGCATGAGTTTTTTTTTATCTAATTAATAAAATATAAGAGTTAAATGTGTTATAAAAATTTTATAGATCTCTAGACGAATTTAATAAAATTATAGTATAAAATTTAACATAAATAGAAAGTTATTTATAATAATATAGATTTATTTAAATTTTGGACAGCGGAGATTTGTCTGTAAAATATACTAATATCGATAATGTCTGATTATTGCATTCAAAATTATATATCAAATTTTCATATTAACAAAAATTACGAAATCATGAATAAATAAATATCATCTATTAATAATATAAAGATTTAAATGCAAAGAAAAATGAGAAAACATCTATATTAATTCAATATGCATATAATATTTTTAAAATAATAAATAGAGGAGTTTAATAGATCAATCAGGCAATATCGATGACACTAATGAAAGATACATAAAATAATCAAATAATACATAACATAAAATAAATAATCAAAAATAAAAACAAAAAAACACAGATTGATACAGGAACAGTCCATCTTCCATCTTAGCGGATGCAACTCGCGTCTCGAAACGAGAGCATCCTTTGGAATCTTCACTTTGTGAGCACTTTGCAAGTCTTGGAGCGCACTCAGTTAAACACAATGGATAGAACATTTATAAAGAGAAGAAATGTAAGACTAAACGTAGAATGACGTAGAAAGATCGCATATTTTGCGAATTAAAAGGAAAAAAATGTCGTGAAGAATTTATTTTTCAGCGACAATTGACAAAGTATGAAATAAGAATGATACTTCTTGTTTCATATCTTTTCAACATGAGAAAAATGTCAACATGACGATCAAATTATGGAATATACATATATCATTATCGATCCAAAGAAAAAAAATGTCCATATTAAAAAAAATCACAAAACGTCGTGTCACGTCATTGTGCTTTGTAACGACGTCATCCTCTCATTAAAACAAAATCTCATGCATCCTCTGGTAATTGTCCTTGCGGGAAAAGGATTATATACAACGATAAAAAGCCAGGAGACATCGCGGCACGTCATGATGCTTTTTATGACGATGTCATCCTCTAATCTCTAATTCGAAAATTAAATAAAGGAATGCATAAAAGGTAGAAAAAAGGATCATGCATTTTCCAATAATGGAGATTCTGATGGAGAAATTAAAACAATGAATGGAAAAAGATGATCGCCCTTGTAAGATAAAAAGGATCATCGATCAAAGCTGGAGATCTAAAAACTATAGGAGACGTCGTGTTTCTAAAAGGATTCTCATCCTAGCGAGTTCTTCATCGCGGATGACGAATAATAACAAATAAAAATCCGAAGGATCTCCCAGGAACATCGCATGACGCGTCTTAGCGTTTTGAGCGACCAGTCGATCCTTCGAAACACCATCATTCTGCAAGAAAAATGCGAGATCGTGACTCGCGAACAGAAGAAAAACACTCGAGACCAGACAAAGCTAGACGAAGCTCTCTTCGTCCTCGAAAACGAGGGAAGAAGTCGAGCAATTCTCCGTCTGTCTTACGTAGATGAGCTGGGCGTAGTAACGTTGCTTCAAATTGTGGAGAACCGAAGCATCGTTGAGGTAGGTCAGATTGGACATGTCTTCGGCTTTCTCATACTTAGGCGGGTTCACCTGCTGCAGCTGGTCCTTCTTGAAGTCCTTGGTCTGTCATCGGGCCCCGAGAGAGAAAGAAAGGACCGATTAGTAATGATAGATCACGATATTCGACTTACATAGATTAATTTGGCGTAGTAACGCTGCTTCAAGTTGTGCAACACCGCCGCCTCGTTCAGATAGGTCAGATCGGCCATGTCTTCGGCTTTCTCGAATTTCGGTGGATTCACTTGGGACAGCTGGTCCTTGCGGAACTGTTTCGTCTGCGCGAGCATTGCAAAGTCTTTTTCTCTCTCTTTTCGATTCCGTTATTGTTACAAGCGATTTTGCAATCACGTGTGTTGCATTTAATAATTTTACTGATCTTCCTGAGTTACGTGCAAAAAAATTAAAAAAATATTCCGAAGCTCTTGTATGTGAAATATATCACTTTTATTCGAAAAATATATTTTTTTCTCTTAAATCAAGAAGAAGGAATTTTTATATCAATTATTTAAATTTTTAAAGATAAAGATAAAAAGAAGTTAAATATGGTACTGTTTATAATACAATAATTTAATAAAAAAATATGTTTAATATATTAATTAGAAAATATTTGTGCAATAATTTTAAATAAAAATTAAAAAATAAATATATAAAATTTTATTAGATCAACGCATTATAATTAAATCATTTAGATCCTTCATAATAATTATATATAATTTATTTCGGCGACTCTTTAATCTTGTAGTTTAACTTTTTTTTAAAGTGCAATTTTGCAATTATTTATGCTATAAAAATGTATCTATAACATTTATCGAAATATAGCAGCGTTTAAAAATTACATTTTATATTATTATGTAATTAATTTATTATATTGAAGAGCTTAATGAATTATATTAGAAATTATATCCTCTCTTATATTTCATTGACATTGTAATAATTATTTCTCTGCTACTTTTAATTATCAGTGAGATTAATACTATCGAGAAAATTAAAATAACAATGTAACTATATAATATATTACCCTATTATATATCATAAATGTTTTAAATATCAATGGATACATTAATATAATTTCATTAATCTTCGAAAAATTAACTCCTACAAAATTAAAATTGAAAAAAAATTTCAACAGATTAATCATAACACAAAGAAGGGGTGCAAAAATCAGCATAATGGAAAGAGACGAGACATTTTTCTCGACGATCACGTAAGAAGGCTTTTTGGCAACAACTGCTGACAATTTTTGTTTTTTCTCTCCCACCTCCTCCCTTCTTTCTCTCCTTTTTTCGTGGACCCTGTTGCTGCTCTAAAAATACGTTGACCCGCGTTTCGAGAAGTGGCGTTTCGACTTATTATTATGCTAGGCGCTAGCAACGACGGTGCTAACAATAGCGTTTAGGCTTACTGTCGGAACGAGGCGATGCGCGAGGCAGCACGGGTTTGCTGAACCATTATGTAACCGACGGGAACATGGATAACGAGGCCGAGAGTTGGTTCGAGAGTGAATCCGGAATTCGGGCCTTCGTGAGCGAAAATAGCGCACTTTCCTCGAAATCGTATGGAAAATGTGTGCGACGATCTCATAACGCGACGTCGCGCTTTAGACATTTCAAATCATACGCGATCGGAATTAATAGCGACAGTAATTGTAAGTGAAATCATTTACGAGATTGATTTACGATCGGTGAAATGCTAATAACACCCGGCGCAAAGTTTATTTAATTTCTAATCGCAGAATAAAATGGCAGAAAAAAATGAGAGAGAAGAGACGAGAATAGGAGGAGTGGATGATATAATATAATTTTAAGATATTTCAAAATTTTGGCACTCTTGAAAAATATAATATTACAAAATTCTCACAGTGTAAAAAAAGAGAAAGAGAAAATACAAAATCTGTTAAATTTCAAATTTATCATTTTGTGTTTATAATTTTCTCTTTAAAACAATATTGCAAATTTATATAAAAGATCTGATTTTCGAAAAATTTCCCAATTTTTTGGCTTTTACTTTTGCGATAAAGAAAATTATAAGAAAGAATTTCAAAATATTGATAGTCATCGATCAGAAACCATCGAGAAAAATTGTTATTAATTTTAATTAAAAGAAAAATACTCTAGCAATAAGATTGATTATACATCTTCCTTTTACGAAATTGCTGTCAGAAATCTTTATTAATTATGATTTTTGGATAGAAGAAACTTATCACAATTTTCGATCAGAAATAATTACAATACTAATTGTGAAGTCAGAGATTTATAAAAATTAATGAAAATTTTTGTAGAATAAAAAATAAAAGTTCTAAATTTTCTTAGGAATTTTAATATTCGCTAATTAATATATTTCTCCTCATTCTGTATTTTTATTATTCGTATTTTATGAAAATGCATTGACTATCTACTATTGCTATATATTATATATACTTTTGCACGCAAAATTTAAATCTATATACACTTTTCTGTGAAATGACAATTCTAATGTAATCACCTATTATCTAAAAATTGTTGAAAATTTATTTAAAATTGATTCCAAATATTTTCTCGTCACATGAGAAGAGACAAGAAAGTGTTATCGAGATTCCGGCGCTTTACTTCAAAGACAGATATATATTGTCATTAGTTATTTTGAACCAGCAGGAAAGAGACAGAAAGCCGCCCTTTACATAATGCATTTTTTCACAGATTTCAAGCTGGAACTTAATTTGAAAAGGAAGGTCTACGAGCCTTCGAGCGATCGAGTGACAGAAGGTCGAGAGTGCTCGATGGCGGCGGTTCGCGGCCGGTATTCTGTTCTCCGAAAATAGATCGCCAGCAAGATCCTCGTTTCTCCCCCTTCTTTTTATATATATATATATATATATATATAGAAGCGAGCAAACTCCCTCTCTCCTTCTCTTTCTATCTCTCTCTTTCTCGGTCGACCGAGTCGATTAAAAAATCGCCAAGGCAGAGCGATCGCGCCTTCCATGGCGATCGATGGAAATTGCGGTGCGGAAATTGCTCTGTAAACAGACGTTCCCACTTCATCCTCTCGCCCCCTTTCTAAAAATTTATGCGAGCGAACGGATTTATCCGGCGAAATCGGAACGCGTCGACGCCTTCTTCGTGCGTAATCGAAAACTCGGGCGGATGCCCGACGTAATATTAAAAAGTACCTATTACGTCACTTTCGAGGTCTAGTTCGAAAGAGTGAGAGAGAAAGAGGCGGCAATTACAATGAAATTTGGCAAATATTCGGAGCGAGTCTTTATATCATTTAAAAATAATCCATATATTTTTAGATTGAAAATGATTTATGTCTTTGCTGCATACTGATATAAAATAAATATTTGTATAGTTTTCTTTTTTATATTTATTATCAGATTTATTTTGAGTGCAAAAATTTGTTGATGTTTTCAAATAGTAAACTAGAGTTACATATTTAAAAGTTAAAGAACAAATTTCTTCGTTAAAGAAAGTTATACAGTAGAAAAAAATCATTTTATGACAGAGACAGTAGAAAAGGAAGACGTATGGTCAGACCGATTACGCTTTTGATATGGCACGTTCATTCGTGAGATTGATTAATAAGTTATGATTAATGTAATTGTAATTGTATTCATGTGATGTAATTGTAATTTCATTAATAATTATTGAAAACAATTTTCATAAAAAATTTAAATTAAAAAGTTGTCAAGTCTCTTAAATATCTGATTGTGAGTGAGATATTTCAATTATTAAAGTAGATATTAATATATATTGTAAGAGAATCATAAATGTTGTTATGAATTATCCAATTATATTTTGAAGCACCGACTATAGAAAATAATTGCTTTACAAACAATCATTTATTAAAGTGCAATTATATCCAAAATTTTCAAATACTGAAATTCCGAACTTTCAGTATAATCACTTTTGTTAATACCAATTTGCATTCTCAATAATTAAAACCAATTTCCTCTCGATTTAAAACAATTTCGATTTCTTATTAAATTCTTCTTGAAAAAATTACATTTGCCATAAAAATTAAAAAAAAAAAATTATTTAAAAATATAAGATTCCATAAAAAATCAAGTCTCTCTTACTCGGCCATTCTAGGATAACGAGGATGAAAAGAGGGATGATTCGCACCCAAATAAAGGACATACCTCGCCGCCAGGTAAGCTGACGCTAACGACGTCGCCCTTGGTGGCTTTAATCTCGCCGAGAAGGTAGCCCTCCTTCTCGTCGGGTACCCAGCACGCCTTCTTCGCGTCATAGGGTTTCGTCTGGTCGATTCTCTTCTGCTCGAGAGAGACGAAGAGATATGGGGTCGGGTCGGGATCCTCTCCCTCCTGGGGCTTCACGGCTGGCATCCTCGATGCTTCCTCTGGGCTCTACTGGCGGTACACTGATGCTGTGCTGTGGCACTCACGGGCTATTTCGTGAGGTCTGGCTTCTTTTTCGGTAGGAGGGGAGGACTGTTCCTCTTCTTCCTATCGTTTTTGCCCACGGGGCTTGTTGTTGGTTCGGCGGCGGACGGACTACTTCTGGCGGCACGTTCCGGGCGGCCCTGGGGAACAATCGATTAGAAAATCTCGATTGCTTCCGGTTGCCCAAAGTTCGCTTTACGAAACTACAACTAGTTATCGCATATATGCAAAAGATTTCATATATCTTTTTTTTTAAATCAGTTACGTTTATTTTAATCTAATTTGCAACTTTATTTAATAAACACTCGTTTGTATGTGAATTTAATAATGATAAACAATAGCCAAGAAAATATATTTTATGAGTTGTTCTCACTGGTACATCAGTACTCTGTATGTATTTTCAGTTTGAAGTTTATTTTCTTAAAATGTTAAATATTTCTTATGTTTTTGAATTTTTTTAATAGCCATTTTGCAATTTAAAAATCTCTGGTTAAATAATATTTATTTAAGAATTAAAAAATATTTATAATAAAAAATATAGAAAACATATGTACATATTTGTACATCTGTCCTCAAAGCTCAAAAACTTTTTATTTTTCAAATATTTATAATTTAAGAATAATTAGATCATCAACATATTCACATTTAAAAAAAAATATGTTCTTCTCAGATTAGCTGAGGTATTTATAATGTAAAATATCCAAAAACATTCTATCAACAAATGCATGTATTTCTTCTATTATTTCACCTATTTATAATATTAAAAATTAGTTTTAAAATGAAAAATGTTTTATAAAATAAATCGAGTGATGTAATATTTCTTAGCTATTCTAATACTAGAAGTCTTGTAATTTCGTAATGCGAAATTTAAAAAAATGTTTAAGATTGTTGTCAACAACCGCCGACTTTTCTCTTTTCTAATTTCACTCAAATATTAAAAAAAAAGTATTCTAATATAATACAATTTTATTTTATCCAATACGCTTCACCTCCGATCAATTTTATATGATGTTGCTACAATGTCACTGGCACTAATACTCGACGATTGTGTGTGAATCACGAAGAAGAATCATGAAGAAGAACGCGATAGGCGATTGCATAATCAGATAAGAATACAAAATGGAGCAGCCATGAAGCGGCACTGGCGATCGGACCAAAAAGAGCGATGTATATCGCGTTACAAGAACTCTGATATTTTCGTTCCTTTGAACAAATATAAGGAATGTGTATATAGAAGACATTCGTAAGTTTATTGACTTAATGGATGCTGGAAGATCGACTTTAAATGATACATCAAGTCGGTCATAAGATATCGAACACAATAAATCATAATATTAATGAGAAGAAAGAAACAATATATCTTTAAAAAGAGAATAAATACAAAAATATATATAATAAATAATAAAGATGATAATAAAGAAGACAATAAACATATATATATATAATAAAGAAGAAAATATGAAAATTTTAAATTTAAAAATAGATAGAGAAATGTACAATTTTTCATATAAAATAAATTTTCTGAGCAGAGATTTTATTTACATAGAGAAAATAATAATCAAATTAATTTTTCTATACGCTTTTTTACTTTTTTACTCAATTTTTTGGCGAAATAACTCGCATAAAAAATTATTGAATATTACAATAAGATATTACTTATAAAATTTTGAAATTAAAGTGAGTATTTTATATACAACTTATAATTTGTTGAATCATATCTAAGAAAATTAAATCGAACTTTTACTCGCAAATCTGAAGTTAAATAATATTAATTAAGAAAACTAGCTTTAAATAAATCAATGTTTTTGCAATCAATATCTTAAAGTTAATTCTCTTGCTCTATTTAAAAAATATTTGTTATAATATTATATATTACATATAAATTTTCGAGGGCTCGTAAAAAAATGAGTTAAATGCCTAAAACTTAATGGCGTCGCACAATGATATATTCCTGCCGTATACATCTCATTGCTCCGAAAGAAAAAAACACAATTGAAGATCGATTTAATCGACCCCCGGAAACTTCCCTCCAATTTGATCGAATCGGAACAGAGGAGAAAGAAGATGGAAGATATAGAAAAAAGAAGAAGAAGAAACCGAAGAGGGAATGCACACTAATGTCCGTTCACCGAAAGTCTCGAAAAATTATAAACACACACTAGAAATAAAGGGCTTCTCCAAAGGGTCCTGGCACATCCTCGCATTCACCTCGGATTCTCACACGAGTACGTCACTAAGAATGGAGATCGAAGACGGAAGAGCACTCCCTTCGAAAACCACCCGTTCGCCAATCACTTTCCGCCCATCTGGGGGTGACTTCCTTCCCGGGACAGATTCGGCACAGACGCACACGCGATCCTAACCGAAGAAGAGTCCTTTCTTGACCACCCAAAACTCGGCGCTCTCGCGAGTTCCACCAAATTCCTGTGGACCTAAGTTTCACCCCCTACATCGCCGATATAGAAATCCATTCCTTATCACCAATATCCGCTTTAGCGTGTACACACGTCGACCTCTGTAAGTGTGCGATCCGATAGATGATCAGCGTATTGTTGCGACGTCCGGATGTTCTTTTCCGCCGTTTTTTTTTTTTTGTCTTAAGAAGAGAAAAGAGAAAAGTGGAAAAAAAAGAAACAAGACCGGCGAAGTCGCGCGACGTGATGCACTTACGTTAGAGAGCCGTTCTGTCGGGGAAACGCGCGGGGGCTCCCAATATAAGCGCGTGCAACGTGATCCTGAGGTATAACGGGACGAGCGATTCGTCGACCTGGCCGACCAATCGCGGATCGCGTTACTTCCACGGTCAATCTACCTTTTTAGGCGGACGATGATACCGAGAACGCGGTGCGACAAGGGTTGGCCGCGAAGCCGCCGAGTGAGATGAAAATAGACATCGGAGCGAGACGCTGATGCCTAGTCGAAATGGAAGAAAGAGGTGGCGGAATTTCGCTCGCTTCGTCGAGAAAAAGAGGAAGAGAGTGACTAACTAAATGAGAAGAGGAGATAAGGAAGGAGGAATACGCCACGTGGAGGGCGCACGTGGTCGCGAACGTTATTCGGGGTGCGTGTCCGGTTATGTCAAAACAGATCGGACAGTTGATTGGAATGATGGATGATCGATGGATTTTATATCTAAATCATATTTGTCTCGTGCTTTCTTCTTGTACTTAATCGATGCTGGCTTGTTTGAGCCACCCTCTCATGATGATGTCTTATCCTTGTATTTTAAATGATCATTTCAAATTGAAACCAAAAAGTTTGATTGAATTTTATAGAACTTCTTCAACCTAAGAATAATGGATATAGTGTTTTTCTCTTTCTTTCTATTCTTTTTTTTCTTCCTCTGTTCTGATCAGATCAGACTAGAAGAAAATATCTGAAATATTTTTCTTTATTACATATGTCAGATTTAATTATATATGTATAAATTTTATTGATTTTCGTAGCACTGTATGTGATAATATACGATACAATCGATAGAATAAAACATTTACAAAATTTGTTTTATGTAAATGTTTAATGTATATATATATAATTTTTCGTCGTATTCTAGTATATTAAAATTATCATTTTTTAGAAACTATACTGTCAAAGATATAAGCGAAATAAATTTTTTTCTACTAACGTCAGTATAATAAAATATTATTTATATATGCACTCTATATTTTAATATTTATATGAATCCTGTTTGTCTCATTAAAAATGTTTTCTCTTATTTTTTAAGAAAAAAATTCTCATCCATCGACGATCTTTTAATGTGTATATATATATATATATATACACATTAAAAGATCGTCGATGGATGAGAATTTGGTGCACATGGCGTCTTTATTTATACGCAATCGAAGGGATCAAACGCTCTGCTCCCTTCCGAAAGAGCCTCCGAACGCGCTCCAGTAGACGCGCAGTGGTCGAGGACGAGCTATGGTCAGACGAAGGCGCGGCGCGAATCTTTCGCGTTCGAAATCGCCGCGCCGTAGAAATAATATTTACGCTTGCCCCGAGCAGCGTCGTAAAACGAATTCCATCTCGTCATCGTCTCGACCATCGTAACACGCCCTCGTTGCGTCCCAAGTACATCGAAATAGACGCCGTACGGAAGGCATATATGGGAAGCAAATATTAGTAGTATAAATGGAATTTTTCATCCACATCGCTGATGTGTACTATTATTGCAATGTTCAGAGAAATTAGAAAATGTCAAATAATACAATTGAACAATTATTTTTTCGTCGTATTGAAACTATACTGTCAAAGATATAAGCAAAATAAATTTTTTTCTAGTAACGTCAGTATAATAAAATATTATTTATATATGCACTCTATATTTTAATATTTATATGAATCCTGTTTGTCTCATTAAAAATGTTTTCTCTTATTTTTTAAGAAAAAAAATTGATAATTTTGTTCTTTTATACTAAAATCACAGATTCTTTAAAATTTTAATCTTATCTTTTGCCTTAATTTTTAAATATTTTGTAGAATAAAAACATATCCTTACATATTATCTAATAAATTAAATAAATATTTTTGGACCTATATTTTTCGCGCCTATTTCTCCATATGTAAGTTTCGAGATTAATTTATATATGGAACTTAGTGATCTCAAACCAAGAGATACAGTTCCGAATAATTAATTTTTCGTGCTTTGGCTCTGTTGGCTGATTTAAAAAAAAAAAACATCATATTTATATTCTTAATATTGAGAGCCGATAAAAATATTTCTTTCCAAATTTAAATAAATTTTAAAATATCTAATAAATGTTTAAATAAATTTAATAAATTTTAGTACAACATCCTAGCATTTGCCGATCCGTGGTGAGCTACGAGATTTTTTTTATTTATACGATTTCAACGGGTCAGCGTAATACATATAGCAATGCAATTTTCTCGAGGAGAAATTGGACCTCTTCCAGTCCTCTTTAATGACAGGAAGAAATACGCGGAGGACGATGATTCTTCGACCTAACAGTATGTCGAGTGTGTCACGGTATGTGTTACAGAGTCGATTGAGAAAACTCTGTCTTTTCCGTTTCAACTCGTAATGATCTACTAAATCCAGATCTACTAAAACATGTTGTAAAACATAAAATAACTAAGTTGCTCGGTGTTAAAAGATTAAAATAGTCTATAATTCAGTGAAGCTTTATTTTCGGAATTTAAAAAAAGAA